ATTTTGTGTAGGTGGGATCTTTTGAAGCATTCTGTGATACCTAGTACCTACCATTTATTGACATATTATTAACTTCTTAGCTTTTGCATTCTTGGAATCTTATGCAGTGAGGTAATATAAAGTGATGAGGTGTTGTCTTGTGTGAACTTCAGTGACTTTGTATGTTTCTTTGGGCAATTTTCGAGTACTATTTAGAAACGTGAGTCTTCTTGTTTATACAAGGCACCCTAATTAACATGCACAGAGCATTCTGTGTGAATGAAATTAACTGTTGTTAGCAAGTGCCTTGTGAAAGTGTCAGTTTTCTTTTCATTGAGCTTAATTATTTAGTTAAGACTAATGAGCTACTTCCTGAAATTTTGGTTTAACGGCCAAGATGCCAATTAAGGGCACAGGGTAAGGTAAAATTGAAAAAAAATCGATTTTAGTTTTTTTCGCAATTTGAAAAGTTTAGTTCTTTCTGTACATTTTCCATTGTCCCAGTGTTTTTAGAAAGCTATATTTCGCGCTGAAAATCACTTCTTCCGAAAGCAAGTAGCAGGTGACCACGCCTCCTTTTGGGATACACTCCCTGTTTATCGATGAATTCTCCAACAAAACAAAATCAACACAAGACCTAAAAGCTTGTCCAGTAACAGATAATCTCAAAAAATTATTTTGCAACTATTGCATAGCTTTTTTTTCAACCGAGACAATCACGAGACACTGTGCACGTTTTTCCCAGGTGTGTACGGTGTGTACATTCAAGCGTTTGTATTTTCGTAACGACAAAATGGCGCCATTGAATGCTGTTCCTTTATTCAATGGTGGCAGCATTGCACAAGCCAATGTTTTGAAGTTTTGTGGATGGAACCCTGTTTGGAAAGCCGTCAAGTGGCTGAGGGAAGTTGACGTCACTCGAATATACTTTACGGACCAAGCGACATGGCAGGTCACAAAAGAGGCCCGGCAAGCAAGGCGATAAGCCTAAAGGCGAAGACATGACTTTAGCAATGCCTTTCAAGCTGGCGGCTATTGAAAAAGATGACTCTGAGGCTGTTGGTGCCAATAGGAATTCGTTATTCACCAGTTTTTTTACTTTAATCTCAATTATCTCAAAACAGTGTTTTTTAGTACATAGGTACCATTTTTTCCTTAACCTGACATTATAGAGGGTTGATTTTTTATTCCTACCACATACATGGGTGTTCAAAAATACTGAACTAAAATTAAAAATGTGCACCTAGCAGTTTTTGAGTTACAAAGTTTTTAATAGATGAAAAAAACTAAAATTTCAGTACTAGAATAAAAAAAAAAAATAAAAAAAGCTTATTTCAGATTGGTTCAAATATTTCTAGTTCAGTGGATAAAACACAATATTTCGAACAAAATGATATATACATGACAGGAATACTCCTAATAGTCACCGAGAAAAATGTTCCTCAACATGGCCTCAAATGCATGGAGAGTATAGGACTTACCCTGTGCCCTTAAAATGTTGCAGAGCGTTTTGAGAAATACCCAATTGAGGTACTTGCAACATGGTGCACTCACAACATGGTGCGCTTTGCATACTCCTTTTTTCCGTCCTAAAAGAGAGCTCATGGTGTACAAAAAACATCTTGAAACAATGCGCCTGCAGGCCACGATTGCAGGATTTTTGTTTGTGTTCCGGAAGAGCAAAGTCCACCTATCTTTCGTGTACTGTTCAAGGCAGGGTATCAAGGCCTTCCTCAAGGCCAGCACCACATGTACTGGTATGCACGACACCCTGTCTTGGGCAGAGCCATATATATAGAGAGAGGTTAGCCATTTATTGGGAAGTAAAGGAGGCAAATGAGGTGGCGCCATTGGCCGAGAGCGGGCAAGGCGTGTTTTAGGGCGTCTTCACAAATTCGAATGGGGCCAACCAGAAGCCGGGAATAATACCCTGGCGGTGGTCGCAAGAAACAAAATTAATAAGTGTGTCAGAGTAGGTCTAGGTGACTGAAAATAGGGTGCACATGCAAATGATCTTACGATCACGGTCATGCAAAATAAATTTCTAGGAAAATGATCGACGTGATTTGTACGCCTGGCGCCAAAGGACAGGAAAATGCCGTCTGAGCGGGTCCGAGCGGTCAGACTCTGACCGAGCAAAACAGTTGGAGCGTCACATTCGATTCTTAAATCTTTTTGCGTGATCATAATCGAAACATCACGTGCACCATATTTTCAGCCATTAAGAGTTGCTACATTTAACTGTTACACACTTATTTGAAGTGTTTCTCGCTACCACCGCTAGGGGATTATTTTCGGCTTCTGGTTGTTCAAGAGAGCACGTCAGGCCTTCTATCTGCATCTCGTGCACCCCCTGGCTCTGCCCGCTCCTCCCATTGACCAAACTTTCTCTACATACGGCTCTGGTCTTGGGTAGGGTTTCGTTGTGGCAAATCTGGCACACTTTCATTGGAGACTTATTGCAATGTATCAGAATATGGCTTATTCTCAATAGAAAGCTCACCCTTGTAGGCAAGTTTCATCATTGGTGGGCATACAGATATGTTAAGCTCAGTGAACCATGATCCCATAACTTACCGAAATACTATCTCTGGCTATATGAACGACTCACTTAGACTGCAAGGCCGAGATAGCTCGTGCTTTGGTAAATCTCATGTCATTCAGGGGAGAGGGAATGCACTCAGCCAGTGTGCATCGGTCAGTTTGGCTGCGTTACCACACTGTGCCCCCTCCAGCCACTGCCCCAGCCACACGCTTCGAGTTGGTCTTTCGTATTGCTGGGAACTGTGCACCTAGTTTATGCTTCTCACAGTTCACAATAGATGTAGGAGAACTTCCCCGTCACATGTGAATACCGAGGTGTCTGAAGTTATCCCGTGTGCCAAAAGTTTTCCAGTTGATGGTACTCTCATAAGTGTTAAGTTTTGGACAAGTGTGTTTTACAAGGTTTAAATATGAAAGGTTTCAATTTTCTCTTTGAATTTGTGGGGGGGGTATTTGTTATGCATGTTCCCCATTTGCGACTAATGCTGTAATAAAACCTTTCAGGTGTAGACACCAACGACATACTGACTGCTTACATATCGGCCATCAAAGCCCTTCGGATTCTCGACTCCACGGGGTACATCCTGCAGCTTGTTTGTGAGCCAGTCTGCCAGTACCTCAGGTACTCTAATGCAGCATCCTCTAACCGGAATATGGGTGCATGAGCTCCCAGGTCTGGGCTATTCAATAAGCAGCTTGCGGGCTATGAGTGTCTAGCGTTAAGTCCGACGGAACCCGGAATAAAAATTAAAGTTGCGTCCGACGTAACTTTACGCGAAGGTTTCAAGTTGTGTCCGATGGAACTCAAAATAAAAATTAAAGTTACATCCGACGTAACTTTAATCCAAGGTTTCGGGCTACGTTCGACAGAACCCAATATAAAAATTAAAGTTACGTCTGACTAAACTCGAAATAAAAATTAAAGTTACGTCCGACAGAACCTGAAATAAAAATTAAAGTTACGTCCTATGTAACCTATGCAACCTAGGTTTCGCTTTATGGACAATACATGACATAAATACAAAAATAATGCGACTTATTACTGCGTTACGTCCAATGCAGCATTCGTAAATTGGATAAAATCTTAAGGCCCGTTCACACGATGCATTTTTCTCACGCATCTAGTGTCGCAAAATGTAGTTTCGCGAAATGGTTGCGCCGTCTGAACGAATCCGAAAAGGACGCGCGCATCTAAAAAAAAGTTGCGCACACACCTCGCTTCTGGAGCGAGCTTTTGCTGAAACTTTGCCGAGTCCTGTCAATCACACTGAGGGCGCCACCAATGGCCGCTCATAAATGCTCTCACGTGGCCTTTGAGGGGGGAGCGAGCTGTTTGAGAAGACCACTTCACTGCCGGTGTTGTAGCGGAGCCAAATCCGAAAAAAACCGAAACCACGAACGATGAAAACTGCCGGCGCTTCCGCAAGCACGTCAAGCACCACTGAAGGAAAAGTGAGCAGCATATTGGAAAAAAATCCAGCGATGGACGAAGACAATTAGCGGGAGTTGGCGAGATTAGAATAGTGCTCATAGCGTTGTTGTCGCGACGATACCGCTGGATAAGAGACCATTGAGTAAACTGAAACCCAGTTTGCTTTGTTTACAAGCGAACGTGAAACCATGTGCGCTCTCTGAAACAGTTGGCACAGTAAACTCGGTGCAGACATGGGCGCCGAGAAGTAACCAGATTGGGCACGTAGCGTCTCTAGGACTACCATGTGCATTGATAGGAGCTTTGGCAATGAATTGGCTGCGTACGGGCTCGGCGCCGGCTCATGTCCTGCACGTACAGGTTGCCGCCTCAATCGGCTTAGTGCACACGCGAGATCACTCCAAGTAGTGCAGTATGTGAGAAAAAAAATTAAAGTAAATTGAGTGCATAAAATGCACAAAGCAGGTCTCCAGATAAATAGCGATCTGATTTGGAGCTCACTCAAAACGGTGCATCGGTGTGTGTTGTTGCACATGAAGCGGTACGTGTGAACGAGCACATTTCGCGAAACTTGAGTGTCGCGAAACTGTTGCGCGCCTAAAAGACGCATTGTGTGAACAGACCTTTAGCTTTATCTGTAGCTCCAGATTTGTTGAGGGGGCTGGAGCGTGTTCCTCGAAGATCAAGGCTGCCAAAGTTGGGAAAGTTCGATGCTTGCTACTTACAATTTTTGTTTTCTCTCCTATTTCCTCACTTTTAAGACAATTTATTGCGATTTTTTTTTCCATAATGAAGACACCTTTTGATATATATTTGCTGCGTTTGTTACACCTGCTTGTAGCCCTTGCCGGCAAAGCTGATCTGGCTAAAGGCCAAGGCAACCTGAGTGGTGTACGTGAAGATTGTGCTAGTTTCCAACAAGTATGCCCGAAACCCTTATCTATTATTAATTGCTTCGAATGTTCGCAAGTGCTTAGAAAGTGTTGCCAAGCATCAAGCTCTAAATTCTTTTTTCTTTTTCAAGAACATGTCATTTTTTTTTTATAAATAAATAAAAAAAAATGCTTTTGGTGAGGTTTAGCGGCGACTATTAGTAGATAGGTTATGCTGGGCGCTGCTTGAATGAAAAGGTAAGAGGAGCCACCCCTGAAAACTCACTTCGGTTGTAAGAGGCTTTTCCATCAGACAGACGCCAACAAAAGGAGTCTTGAAGGACTGTGCTGCGAAGCCACCCTTTCCTAATCGGCGCCAGCGCCTGTGAATTATCCCTTCGTTTAGTCGGCAAAGAGACTAAATGTATTAGTTGAAAGTTAAACGCACTCTATGTCCTTCGTGCTTCTTGCTAATTCGCCATCTCCTTGCGCTAGATACATCTTAAGAATATTTCTCCATGCTTTTACCCTAAGTTGAAATGAAGCTAGGTGACCTATTGAGCTCCTTCGAAGAGCTGAGCAACGCTGTGAAAGCCTATCCTGAAGCGAACTTCGTACACTTTTATAAGCGAGATACCCGCTCAGTTGAAGCTGCCCGCGCAAAAGGACTCGAGCGACATGTAGACAGTGAGCTTATGGTGTACCAAGTGCACTACTGCTGCATTAAAGGTGGACGGACCTTCAAGGGAAGAGGAAAAGGTGAATGGGAGACCAGGTATGTGCCAATAAGATTTTATGAATGCTTGCATGTTTTCTATACTCAGAATGTGGGATGGTGCTGATGTCTCAATCTCTCAAATAAATAAGTACCGCCGTGTAACAGTTCTACCGGGGGTTTAGGATTCAAGAGACTCGAGAACCATGGTTTTTCTCATGACCCATTGTTTTTCTCTCCAAAAAATTAACAACACATCCGGGACGTTGTCTTCTCCCAAAAGTAGCGCGAGCAGTTGGGCGTAGCATCTGCTACGGAAAACGGGCCGCATATTTACAATGTTTTGTTGGCTCTTTGGCGCACCGCATGAAACCATTTTTCAATAGATTTTGGAAGGCTTTAGCATACAGGTTAATACGACAGCGGAAGCATTGAGTAAAATTATAAAAAAATTAGTTCAAATTAGTAAATCATAAAAAAACAACAACTATATTTTCCTGTACTTTGCATGTAAGCATAGATAATATTTGGGCCACTGTGGCATTTAATCTGGCCAAATGTAGTAAATATTATGTAAGCCATATTTATTTCCTTTCTGTTCCACCCATTTTTCAGTTGCAATAAACACCAGAAAGGTGGAAAAAAAGAAAGGCTTAGCGGCAATTCTTTTTTCTGCAAATAACCAGTTTTCTTTCTGACTCCTAGGAAAGGAGAGGAGGGGGGGAGCTTATGTTTTTATAAGTTCAAATAATAAATCTACCGCCTCTGGGCACCTCTGTAGCAAGTCGTAGCTCGATACGTTACGAAATTGATTAATGCGATCACTTCAAGGGGCCAACGAAACATTGTGGAGTCCTGTTATATCCAACCTCTAGCACTACATTCGGGAGGAGATACAGCGTTCGGCGTTGTGAGGAATGCTTTCGTTGCACGACATGGTTCTCTTTTCTCTAGGCCTGTGTGAGCATTCGAAATTTCGATTAAAGAATATCCTTTTCGGCCCTTTTTTTGGCCGCAGTCAAATATTCAATGAAGTAACAAAAATTCGGCAAACAGTGAACAAGCGCCACGCAGGGTGTGCCACGACTGCGCAGAAATTTGAGAAAATGCCAACGATTTAGGCGCCCGGAGTCCTCAAGCGAAGAACATGCGAGCAAAAAAAACGTGAAGCAATAGGGGCCGTGCAAGTGTCCGCAGCAGCCGGCACGCATACTTTGCCATGCGCGCATGAAGTGATGGATTAATTTGAACGAAATGAACGCATAAAAATGCCGCAAATTGTGTTTTGGGTTGAACTGGCCGGTTTGAGTCGCACTCACTCCTCCGTGGCCATGTGTCGTTTTCTATGATTTAGACGCAACCACCGAAGATAATCAAAGTCGTGGGTCATGGAAGGCACACACTCAATACTAGAAATGGACAAAAACATGAAACCCATTACACAGCCACGTGATTTCCTGTATCTTTCTCCTCCTCTATACTTTTTCCTCCCCAGTCCAGTTTTGGTTTCGGTTTCGAGCTGTTGCACTTTTTGACTTTATTAAAAATATACGTGACACTGCAGCAAAATATTGATTGGGTAGTCTTCTGACATAATAAATCGCCTGGCAAAATAATTTTTTTTTTAGTGTTGCTGTCCCTTTAATGAAAAGCTTTGCGAACGCGGCCCGATAATGCTATTGCATTCCACTCTTCAAGGCAAAGTTTAAGCATCCCCCAAGTTTTCTTTTTTTGAGGAAAGTGTGTGTCGTGGCTTACCTAAGTCCTAATTAAGGCAGGTAAAAAATTATATTTTTTGCACAGTGTTCCTTTAAACATCTCTAGTAACACATAGAATTACTGGCATCTGTACAAATATTCATGAAGAGAATGATAAAATACAGTGCGGTCTGTGTCGTCGTTTTGTTTGTCTATAATCGTTCAGCACCACATTCAATTTTCTAAAATGTGTATTTGTTTATTTACAGCACCTTTCTAGATGGTTCTGGGGCACACATTCAATGTAGAGTCTCAATCAACAAAAAAGCACTTGAAGTGGTGTCATTTATTGACACCACTTCAAGCACAACCACGTTGTTTGTGAGGTAAAGGTTTCTTCCATTTAAAGGAGCTGTGCAACGATTTTAACGTTGAAAGAATTGGCATTTTCTGCTTTTGATATTGTTCACTGTGTCACAAATGGCAGAAAACACCTTTCATCGAAATGTTGCGATTCCACCGCTTAATAGCGAGGCAAAACTTAGAATATTTCCCGATCTGCAGCCACGAGCGGCGGCCATGAGAAACAAGCGGCGTGACGTCACTTGGGTAGTTTTAAAAAAGATAGCAAGTTGTGCGAATACCTGCTCGATAAAAGGTAACTTTTCTATAAATCTTGTCGTTCCAACACATATATAAATGTGTCAAAACCCTGGTATCATCGACAAAACTTCTATTATACGGAGTTTTAGTGGCGCCATCTATCCTAGGTCCACAAAACCGCGAATAGCCGCCAGAAGCCGGAGGGGGAGGGGGCAGCGCCGGACGGGCAAGGACGGGTATGGCCGGACCCGGATGAGACTTTCCTCCTTTCACCGTATATTTCGCGGGGCCGTCCGCCAGCACGTGATCACGCGGTCGCGAGCGGATGAGTTCTCGCTGCTCGCTGATGGATCTAAAGAGAGTACTTTTTCGGAACCCCGCGCCTACTCAAGTGACGTCACTGCGCACGTGACCCGGAAGACGATGTACGAGTTGAGAGGCGGCAAAAACCAGGATCTTTTTCATTTTTTTAAATAAAAACTAGGGTATCCAGGCAAAATCTGTTTTCTGTAGTTCACTGCAGGAGTGTCAGGCATCAACTTCCACAATTATTTAAGCAAAGCCCTGAAATTGTTGCACAGCTCCTTTAATATGTCTACCTACGGTGTGTGTGTGTGTGTGGGTGGGGGGGGGGGGGTGCATGGGAGAGAGAGTGGTAGATACATAGAGAGAGAGAGACCCCAAAATAAATATTAATAGTTCATAACCTTTTGTAGAAGCTGCACACTCACCTGCCACAGAACAGAGCCATGGACAAGGATGTTCGTAAGGAGGTTGAGAGCCTACTGAAGCTGGGAGCCTACAACAAACTCGTGAAGGCTGCGGTACAGGCGAAAACAGGAAAAATTGTTCTGCTAAAGGACTTAAGTAATGTTGCAAGTGCAGTCCTGGATCCTGTTCCAGCACCGTCCGGCTGCTGCGAAATGACTATGGTACTAGCAGAGCTTGCTCATTCTCTGTCCTGACTTTTTGAGGACAACGTTAGTGTTGTTACTTTTGCACTTCTTAATTTTACTGCCTTTCAGGGACAGGCTGCCATATCCTCACTGAGAATGATGACTTTTGCAGACTTCTGATCTGCACGGACAGCATGAAAGCATCGGTGCAGCCCTATCCAGACTACACTGGGATTGACGCTACGTACAAGCCGCTGGAGTTGCGTACCCCAGTCTATATAATACACAATGAAGATGGCAACGGTGCGACACAGGTTGTGTGCATTGCACTTCTAGTCCAAGAAGATGCCCCGAGCATGCAATGGGTGCTGAAGAAGTTCCAGGAGCTCAACCCAGCGTGGACACAGACGAGCTGCATTATGCCAGACAAGGATCTTCTGGAGTGGCACTGCTCTAAGGAATGTTTTCCACAAGCTAAAGTCCTGGTTTGTGTATATCATGCACTTCAAACATTTGGAAGAGAGGTCAGTGCAAGGAAGCCGAGAATCACAGCAGAAGAGCGTGAAACAGCACTTAAATTGCTTCAAAAAATAATGATGTCCAAATCTGATAACGAATTTGAAGAACACGAAAAAGAATTTGATCAAGAAGTGAACCCCAGCATAAAAGCATTGACAAAACCCGGAGGCCTATCAGGCATGAGTGGTACACCGGGCCACAGTTTATGGAGTCATTGTTTAATAACATGACCAACAACCGCCTGGGGAACTTCAATGAACAGCTCAAAAGCGTCATGAAAAACAACAATTCCCTCGAGGAATTCTTCCACCAGTTGTTCAAGTTGCTTGGTGCACTGGCTGATGAGCACAACCATGGAGCAGCCTACTCCATGTTCAAGCGACCATGTAATCTTAATAGTCTGGACAGCGGTATTCAACAATACAAGTAGCTCCTCACGCCATTTGCATAGGAACAGGTTGTCAAGCGATTCAGCCAAATGGAGAATGTGAAGCTGCCACTACCAGATAATATAGTTTACAACCATTGCAGCAGCTCCGGGATGATAGTTGTATCCTCTACAGACTGCACATGCTCATCAAGGATTTCAATGATGCTGCTGTGCTGTCACATGCTCGCTGCAAAAAAAGTGCAAGGCTTTGACCTCTTCAACAACACACTCTTTTCTTAACGATGAACCAGAGAGTACTATATTACAGGAATTTGGCACTCTTTCCCGAAGAGGTGGATTGTGATGGAGTTGCAGGACTGACACTAACAAAGCAACTCAACAACTCCAAGATCTTGTCGCAGCATAAGCAATACAAAAAAGCCTTTCCTCTGTGCCGACGCCTAGCCGAGTTGGCTGCAGAAGAAACAGGAGAGTGCTATGTGAAACGCCTCGAACTGATAATATCACTCGGGAGTTCTTGGAAAGCTGGGCTCAAAGTACAGCTTACACAAGGCGACATGGAGCTTCCTTTCCAGACTTCGTGCTCAAGTGACTAATGCCTTCCACAGAGTGCAAGAGGGTAAAAGAGGGCAACATTTCGGGTAGGCGCCATTGCCAAGCGACCACCGCTAGACGAAATGCATCTTCATATACTCACTGTCTTGTTTGGCGACCTATATTGCCCCAAGCACGTCATCATACATAACTTGTTTATTTGTTTGATACATGTGTAAACAGTTTATGGTTTAAAAAAAACCTATATGTTCCCTTCTAGCTGCGGGAGCCATTCAGCATAGTAATGTAAAATTTGTTTTTCTTTTTAGGCCAGATGATCAGTCAGCTGAAGAACACGAGGCAGGACGGGATTCCTCACATGCAGCCCCTACACCAAGCACGAATTTGAGCTTGATGGGAAATACCCAAGCGTCTACCACTGCAACCGTAACCCCATTGCTCGTTCCGAGTTCTTCCGAGGATGACGCCTTGGTGACCCACCCCCTGAGTTCAATTAAGATGCCACTCTTTGCAAAGCCTCATGGACGGCCAAAGGGAGTCGACATGGTGGTCATTGGGCTGCCCAAGAAGAAGGCACGCAAGGCTGCCATGGAAAGCAAGGCAGCACGAGGAAAAAGCAGCACGCCTGTGGCATTCGCCAAGCTGCCAGCACATATGATGCAGCACAAAATGCTAATGTGGTTTGTGGATGAAAAGGACGCCACCTATGCTTTACAGCACAACACTCTGCTTGGTAAGTTGGACTTGGATACTTAGGATCACATTCAGTACATGATGTGCACAAGTGGTATAGACATTGAAGCCTTGTTGTGTGCTGATACCGAAAATTACATAAGAAAGTTTCTGTGCAAGGAAGTAGCACACGTGCACCTGTACCGTTTCCCCTGAGGCTCGCAACCCATTGCAGAAAAACCTGCTTATATAATTTTTGTTTATTTACTACTTAATAATGGTCAGTACATAAAAATACTTACCTGTACAATTTTCTAATGTTTTGCGTGTGCATACGTGTGTTCTGGTAATATATTTCATTTCCTGTTACCTAAGTGAGCGTGTTTAACTTTTTACAGATGAAACTAAGGTGGAGGTCCTTTCCTGCCGTATCCCAGACGCTGCCCTTGACGAGACTGTCGACCTGGACATCATCAAGGACAACTTCACAGAAGATGGGTGGTTTTCAGTAACCAACATTGTAAATGTCAAGAAGCGAACACACAAGTGGAATTGCAACTACTACAAGGATCCATTGGATGAAACTGCATGTCATGCATGTGATGCATGACATGGTCTGTGCAGGCATTTCAGAGAAAGGTATCGAAGCCGGCAGCTGGTTCTGCAAAAAAATGTTTGAAGCATGACGGATGACCTATGTATTATGCACGTATGGACCTTCCTATTTATTATATATCCACCTATGTATTATGCATAAAAAGTGGACATAAAAGAATAAAGCTTGGGGTGTTCTAATGTATGCGGGAAAAATATGTGTGAACTACTTTCTTCAAGAGAAAATATGCTTATTGTCCCACCTTTAGTGTTCAAGGGCCATCATTTTATCAACATCTGCATATATAAACCTCATATATGTATAGGGTGTCCCAAAAGAGATGTTAACTCTGCATTAGAATGGTGATGTATAAAGTTGGAACCATTAAAATATAGTCTGCACTTAAAGCAGGAAATAAAAAATAAAAAAAACTTAACATTAAAAATTGTACTTTTTTTTTTTTTTACTCAGCTGTTTTTTGGAATTTTAATTGCAAAATGTGACCCAGTTGGCAGTTGCTACTTCCTATGTCAAGTCGTTGATTTATGCGAGCCATTTTAGTCACTAAAAAAAGATGCTGGGTACGGGCCTGCTGTGGCAAAATGAATTGTGTATGATTCATTGCTTTGTGAAAATAGGATGGAAGCGCTAGTACCACTAGCACAAGCTAGCTTTCTCGGGCGAAAAAGGAACTGCTGTGGAAAATGTGAGCTCAAACATGCCTCAGCCGCAGGAATGCTTATGAAGAGGAAGCACCAACCAGATTCAAGCACAAGCTTTTAGTCACGATAGGACTACATGGGAAAAAAAGAAATTGCAAATGATATGAATGCATGTTCAATGAAATGTAGATCGCAAGCTGAAACATCAGCACTGCGACTTACCTTAGTTCATGCGCTAGCTTTGGCAAAGCTTTTCTTTCAGACTAGTTGTCTTGTGGGACATGAGATACTAGCGAGATTAGATGGACTAGATCACAGTGAAGAAGAGTGGGTAGGGGGGTTCGATGGGGCTGAGTGGGCTAACGCGTCTCAGCTTGGAGTGAAAGCTTGCGCTCCAGAACCTCTTGGGTTTGATCCCCACCCGCTGCCCGTTTCAACCCAGATGAGTTTCTCACCGGCGAAGGTCATTCATTGTACTGGCACGCGTTTGTGTAATTACTACTGCGTGGTGCACGTTAAAGACCTCAGGTTGTACTGCACTGGTTAACTTTCTCATCTACAGCTAAGAGACAAGTCACCCGTGGAGGTGTACAACAATCAAGACTGTCTAAACATATGAGCAACTCGATTTTAGGGGCGAATCTCCTTAGGGTCTAGCCTTGTCCATCCGGCGTTTGTGCTCACATCGATCTTGCTGGTGCTCGTGCTCGTGAGCTCACATGCTCGTGTAGGGGAAAAAAAAAAAAAAAAAAAAATGCTTGCGCAGTTGACAGAATTTGAACCTGCGCGGGGAGACCCCAATGGATTTCTAGTCCATCGCCTTAATAACTCGGCCACGACTGCGGGACGAGTAGGGGGCTCCGAGATGTGGTAGTAACTCAAGGGCTGGGAATGTCATATATAAAACGTTGAATGTAGCCGCTCGACGTCTATATAGGAGAAAGCGCTGCGGTCAAATGCGTATATAATCGCTTTAAACTTTGCATTCATTGGCTCAATGTTTATAGACGAGAAGGTGCTGCGGTCAAATGCTCAAATGCGTATATAACCACGTTCCATACCACACATTCTCTTTCTGACATGAATGAAGACGAACGAAAGCCTCGGCATGCTGCGGCTCAGCGTCTACGCAGACAAGCACCACCAGAGCTTCGCTTCAATCAACATCCTTCATTATGTGGAGATAGGTCAATTTTTCTAGATCACGACACATACAGGGGCTTTAGACGCTTTAGGCGAGACAATGGGCCCTCAATCTGTCGTACGAACCAACACCCCAACACTGCCAATCTCAGGCTCGCAGCATGTGTGCTGCGGTTTCCATTTTGTTAATGTTTTTCTTTTCTTTTGTGTGTCACATCTAGGAAAAAGTAATTTCATATTGAAAAAAAATTCTGAAAAAAAGGAGAAAAAGATTTTCTTAAGGGGAAAAAACGAAAAAAAAAAAAAGCGTATGTGACGGGCATCGAACCCGCCCGGCCTATGCAGCCTCGACATATGAGGAACGCACTCCAACCCCCTCAACAAACCTGGAGGTATGCATAGAGTCGCGATTTTAACAGATTTATGCGTGCTGCATCAGACGTAATGTAGTAGTAATTTACAATATTTTTGTGTTTACATCATGTTTCGGCCGCAAAGCGTAACATTCAATAAGGTTCCGTAGGTTACACAGGCGGTAACTTATTTTTGTTGGACCCAACTTCAATTTTCATATTAGGTTCCGTCGGACGTAACTTGAAATCTTGGATTAAAGTTACGTCAAACGTAACTTCAATTTTTATTTCAAGTTCCGTCGGACGTAACTTTAATTCTTACTTCAAGTTCTGTCGGATGCAACTTTAATTTTCATATTGGGTTACGTTGGACGTAACTGGAAACCTGGGGGTAAAGTTCTGTCAGGCGTAATTGGAAACCTGGGGGTAAAGTTCCGTCAGGCGTAACTTTAATTCTTATTCGGAGTCCCGTCGGACGTAACTTTAATTTTCATATTGGGTTACGTCAGACGTAACCGGAAACCTTGGGGTAAAGTTACGTCAAACGTAACTTTAATTTTTATTTAGAGTTCCGTCGAACATAACTTTAATTTTCATATTAGGTTACGTCGGACATAACTCAAAACCTTTACGTAAGGTTACGTTGGACATAACTTTAATTTTTATTTTGGGTTCCGTCGGACGTAACGCTAGACACTGCGTTCGGGTTAACATGGAAAGTGCTCCGACTCATAAACATAATAAAAAAATACCATGCTTTTCAGTGTCTAGAAGTGTTCGTCCAGTTTAATTACCAGTTGTGACTAATGGTACTTACCTGAAGTTAGAGCGGGAATTATACGACGCCTATAGAAGCACTTACTATCAAGTTCACAACTGCTTTTTCCTTCTATACTGGAACTGACATCAATGTTTCAAAGCTATTTTTAAAAGTAAAAAAACTAGGTGGGGCTATAGGCGCTCCCCCTTAGGGAAGTATTCTCCACTTCCGGCTTCATCTTTCCGAGTTAGTGATTACGGCACAGCTTGCGGCTGCATTGAGATGGTGGGGTCCTTACCTGTGTTCCACCGTCTCGTTTAGCTGTCCAAGATCTAGGATTGGACGCACCTTGTTATCCTTCTTTGGTACTACGAAGAAGGGGGAGAGGAAAAAGGAGCAGTCTCTCAGGAAACGGTACCCGAGAAACTGCTCTTTTTTTGACCAGGTCGGACACTGCCTCCCAGACCTGATTTGACTACCCCTCTGGTCGGCACGCTGTGCGGCCCTTGAATAGGTGGTACCTGTGTAAACTCCAGCTTACCCCTGTATTGTCTGAAGGATCCATGCATCGTGGGTGAGTAACCTCCACGCTTCGCAGCAATATGCCAGTCGGCCTGTGGGCTATAGTGCTAAGAGGTGCGGGTTTATACTTGCCATGATGTCCTTGGTGGAGGTAGGCCCCCCTCATGTAGCCTCGGGGAGGGGGCCCCCTGTGAAGGGGATGCTGGCCCTCACTCCGGCTTTGGGCGCTGGTCCCCGGGGTAGCCGAGCCGCAGGGCCTCTTGGCTGCTGGCTCCGCGATGGGAGAGGGTGGCTGGCGGGCTTCCCGGGGGACCTTGATGGTCTCATTCCTCATTCGAAGCTGCCCTAGGAGGCCCTCTCCGAGCAGAAAGGGGGATCCTTCACTCCCACCGTCATGGACCACCATCTGGCAGAGGTCTGGGGAGACTCGTGCGATCACCTCCTCCTGGCGCTCGCGGGAGAGCGATGCAAAGAGCCACCCCAGATGGGTGGTAGCTGCCCCCAGGTGGTCTGCCACCATCCTCCTGTCAATTACCTCCTCTGAAAGGCCGATTTCCAAAAGGCCTACTACTGGCCCCATAGCCGCAGCCACTGTGCCTTGGCCCTCTCCGAGTGCCTGGTCTCGCGCTGTGATGCTTGCGGGCACTTCCGGGCCACCCTCTGGGCGGCGGCTCCTGTCCTTCGCCAGGGCCTTCATTTCTGGATTCAACTTTGGCACCATGGCGAAGGGGAGCCGTGGTCAGGGGAAAGCTCGTCAGGGCTGCCCTACACCACTCAAAGCACCTCTCAGAGCCCCAGTGCTCCTGGAGGAAGTCCAGGATAGCAGGGTCTACCTCCCGAAATCAGCCCTCTGTTGGGCTCCCCAACCAGGCGTGAGGCCCCTCAGCAGGCCCCAAAAGGGTCCGGGTGGGGCATGGCACTTTGTTCACTGTGTTAGAGCTCGACCTCCTCCATGGCCAAGGGAGGGAGGCGGGTGGTGAGCGCCGCTACCAAAGTAGCGATGCCCGCCACCGTTTGCTACAGCTCCACGATCTCTGAGGTTGAGATTTGAGGAGGCCTGAGAAAGTCACATATTGGTTTAGACACGATTTGGGCCGCACTGATATCCGTTTTCAAACGTGAGGCATAAAGGTGCCAAGTCTGGCTTATTTAGTAGTCCTTGAGGCTGTCCAAGAACTTGTCACGTCGTTCGGAGCCGGAGCTCTCAAGACGCGAGCGGGGACGCCAGATGTCACTTGAAATCGCCGCCTCTGCTCGGGGCGGGGGCCTATAAAACAACAAGGGGGATCGCCAAGCTTGGCTTATTGAATGGCCCTTGTGGCTGCCCAAGAACGCGCTGCGTCACTTGGAGCCGGAGCTCCCAAGGCGCGAGTGGGGATGCCGGATGTCACTTGAGATCACCGCTTCTGGTCGGGGCCGGGGCCTATAGAACAACAAGGAGGATCGGAAAGCTTGGCTTATTGAATGGCCCTTGTGGCTGTCCAAGAATGCATCACGTCGTTTGGAGCCGCAGGTCCCAAGACGCGAGCCGGGACGCCGGATGTCACTTGAGATCGCCGCCTCTGCTCGGGGCCGGGGCCTATAGAACAACAAGGGGGATCGGAAAGCTTGGCTTATTGAATGGCCCTTTTGGCTGTCCAAGAACGCGCCGCGTCATTTGGAGCCGGAGCTCCCGAAACGCGAGCGGGGACACCGGATGTCACTTGAAAGCTCCGCCTTTGCTCGGGGCCGGGGCCTATAGAACAACAAGGGGGATCGGAAAGCTTGGCTTATTGAATGGCCCTTGTGGCTGTCCAAGAATGCATCACGTCGTTCGGAGCCGCAGGTCCCAAGACGCGAGCCGGGACGCCGGATGTCACTTGAGATCGCCCCCTCTGCTCGGGGCCGGGGCCCATGAAACAACAAGGGAATCGGAATGCTTGGCTTATTGAATGGCCCTTGTGGCTGTCGAAGAACGCGCCGCGCCGTTTGGAGCCGGAGCTCCCAAGACGCGAGCGGGGACGCCGGAAGTAGCTTGGAATCGCCGCCTCTGTTCGGGGCTGGGGTCCATAGAAGAACAAGGGGGATCGGACCCTATTGTAAACCGAAAATAGTCGTGCTCTGTCCGAAGCCAGAGCCCGTAGGACGCGAGTGGGAATGAGTCCTTAAGGCCGCTTTAACTCCGCCGCCTTTGTTCGAGGCCGGGGCCCATAGAACGTCAGGGATGATCAGACTCTATATGTAAACGCAAAAATTGTCCTGCTTTCTCTGAAGCCGGAACCCGTAGGACTTGAGCGGGGACGGGCAACTCCTTTGTGCCTCTTGAAACTCCACCGCCTTTGTTCCGAGGCTGAGGCCTGAGAACTTAGGCCTAGCACAGATAACGGACGTGCGACAAAGAGGTTCAAAATTGTTTACTCTGCGGTCAGACAAAGTTTCTTCTAAAACCTCGCTGAAGGCGAGGTCAATCCCTTGTCGAGAGTGAGCCTCTCCGAGTTTAATCAATTGAAGTTTCCGGACAACAGAGAAAAGGCTCGAAGTGCGATCAAACTTGCATCTCGTCGCTCCGATCAACGAAGGAAAGATGAAGTTGGAAGTGGAGAATACTTTCCTACGAGGGAGTGCCTATAGCGCCACCTAGTTTTTTATTTTCAAAATAGCTTTGAGACGTTGACGTCAGTTCCGGTATAAAAGGAAAAAGCAGTGACTCTGTGGCAAACACTCTCGTACAAATTGCATTATTGTTTACAAGGTCTGTAGGCTTCAGTACTGCATTATTGCCTCAACTTTGGGGCTGGAAGGGCTTTCTCAGTTATCAATCAAGAGCAACGCGCAATCCTCAAGACCGAAACACCCAAGAACCCCTGTTACGGGCAATGACATGAGTGTACATCAAAGAGTTTATTTAAGCGACCTTGAGGCTCACCTCAACTTTTTTCGTCGTACTCCTCACGTCCGAGTTACGTCCATAGCTGAAAGCTAACACGTTGAAATGCATAAACTTAATTTTGTGAATGTGCATTATGCTACTGTAGCTTATTGGTATGGCTATGGTAGCATTATGCTACCGTAGCCATACCAATAAAGGGCATCTGTCATGTCACATCAAAGGATCGAAGACTAATTTAGACCATTTTTCGACCCGCAACGGATATTTTCATCGTTTGACATCTTCGCCGCAACAAGCAAACATTGAATTGCGTGCACCTCAGGCCGGGGCTCAAACGCTGCAGCCAGGGATTTGTGGGGCAGTACTTTACCTCAAAGCCATTGACACGAGTTTCGTCGCGGAGCCACTGAACGTAATGCGTGCGAACCGGGCTTTCTGTGGCCATCGAAAGATAGCGCTGTCCCCTCCGACGCCCGGTGCGCTGAAGCGGGGGCATCTGACCACACTCTTTTCAGGACGCGGGAGGACACGGTGAAGTGCATAGTGTCGAACCTGACGGACGAGAGCTGCGTGGAGCTCGCTGGGGAGCTGGTCAAGTTCACCCCGATCACCCTGGAGGACACGTGCCCCAGCGACGAGGACGACGAGGACTGGGAGCACTGGCAGCCCGCCCCCGTGGGCAACGACCAAGGTAGTGCTCCGCTCGCTCCCGACGATGTGTTTTGAATCGATTGCTTCATCGAGTGACCACGTTCAATAACTAATTAAGTGCCAGATATCCAGAGAGATAGCCTACCTAAAATCGAAAGCAAATCGCGTCAAAAAAAAGGTGTAAGCTAACTTTTGGTGCATGATCAAAAAAAGTTAAAAAAAAAATGCCTGCGAAAGTTGTGATTGTAGGGAGGGGAAATAAACCAAAGACGACTGTCCTTTGCAGACAGCAATATTCACTTATCTCGCATCCTGGCTAAGTAACGCCTTTCTTGCTGACGTCATCATTTGGCCAGGTCCCTGCAATTACTGAGAATAGGCTATCTTTCGGTGTTCTTGAGAAAAATAGCAAACTGTGCCAAAAATAGGAGGCAGGTTATCTTTCGGGGTGGGGCGTATCTCGAGATATTGCACTGTCCTCCCCCGGTTGTTATTCTAACAAGTTTTGTTGCGCCATACGTTTCTGTCTACATATTGTTGTTTCGTTGGTATATTTTGAAAGCGCTTGCTTTATGTGAGAACCCTTCTGGGACCTTTCTTGCTTTTGTCGGTCTAACTGCATGTCATCACAATGTCACGTGATGCCACAGTGTCGCTGACGTTGTGACTTCGCAAACACCACAACTGGACACCGTGACTTTCTGTTGTCAGGTGCGGGGAAATTGATGAGCAATATGTTCTTCTCTCCCCGAAACGACCCTTTAATGTACAACCATTTCGTCGTTTACCCTGAGACTGGGTTTTTTTTTGAAGAGCAGAAGTAACAGAACAAACAGACAGGTCTCAAACTCAGCTACAAGTTTATTTCAACAACTTCCTCTTTCCAAGTGAAAAGGTACTGATAGAACCTTTTCACTTGGAAACGTTGGGAGTGTCCGCTTCTTTTGTGATAGAGTGGAACCTGTAAAGTCACGGTGCAGAGGACAAGTCGTATGTGATTGGTTGATGACGACGAGAACAAACTATATAAGAGGAAGTTGTTGAAATAAACTTGTAGCTGAGTTTGAGACCTGTCTGTTTTTTCTGTTACTTCTGCTCTTCAAAAAAAAAAACCCCAGTTTCAGGGTAAACAACGAAATGGTTGACTTCCACCAGCTAGCCTGTACTTCGACTCTTTTCCCTTTAATGTATTCTTGGCAAATTTGAACGATCGCTCCTTCCATACTGTATTCCTTGCATTATAGGACTTTGAAGGTAAAAGTTGCCGGTAATTTAGCAGGCTTTTCAAGGAAAATGATTCCGATAGAAATTGCCACTCATAAGAATCCCCGCCAAGTGCTATCGCACCTTCACTGCATTTGACAGAATGTCTTAAGCCAAGAAATGTTGTTAGTCAAACATTCTTCTATTTCTACTACAGATAATTATTTGGCTGAAAAGTGTGTTGCCAAAAGCAAAACCCAGTTTCGATCACATGCCATTCTACACATACCTTGATCTTTGAATGTGACCCCTGGATTGTACTTAATAATCCTTTTTGATTTCTGGGCATAAGGAAACTTGTCAGTCAAGTATGCTCCCAATTAAAATTGGTAATCCAAAGTATTAGGGCCTTTTACGACCAAGCATTTCCCAGGACATGAATTTTTTGGAAATCGGATTTCTAAAAATCTAGGGATTCCTGAATAGTCTGTTCTTTTGGTTTTTTTTTTTTTTTGTCCCAATTTTTTAGAAACATGCTTTATCTATAAGGTGTAATGTAAGTATGGCTGAGCCTTGTGTGGATGCAGCAATGTAAACTGAGGCATCCCACTTCTTTTCTCGTTGACAAAGTTATGAACCATTTTATTGCAAAAGTGCCTAAAGGTGGAGCTTTTCGGATATTCTTGAAGGTGTCTAGGGTCTGCCGCTGTCCCAAAAGATTTTTTTGAGGCTGGGCGAACTGTACACTTCCTTTGCTTGTGAAGGATTTTCTGCAACACCTAATGCCTGAAAAGAAAAAAAGCTTTTACAGATTATGAACATCAAGAATTCACTCTGAGCAGCATTCAACGAAAGTGATAAAATCGTGTCATGTCCCTTTTAAACTTGACTAGAGGTTCCCCCAAATCAAATTTTGTTTTAGAATCTCTGATCTGCATAAATATGCTGGTGCTTTCAGAACATTAAAATTTTAGGAAGTACATCACATTGAACCATATACTTACCAGTTATGATCTGTTTCTTTTTTCTTTCTTTTTTTTTTTGTACTACATGCTATAGAACTTACCTTTTGCTAGGCTTTGCATAAAATTTTGCCTTTTAGCATTGTTATCTCCAAAATAACATTTCAGTAGTTCAAACTTGCAGTGCAGAACTTGATGTTGATTTAAACTGTTAGTCAAACATTTATGATTGAGGATGTTACCTGTAGGGGCGAGGGACCATGTGAGCTGAAGTTCACCTGGCTGTCATGTATATACCCGACGTCAAAGGAAGATCCGGACGACAGAAGAGCTTCATTTCTAGCCTGGGATGCCAACACCAATGGTTTTCCCACTGCTGCTCTTTTGAGTTACGAGACGTTTCCTTCCGTATTAGGCTGTTCTAATAATACCAATGTCTTTTTGGCATCTTGAATATCACTATGTGGCCTACTAACCATCAGGGGCTATTCTCTGGAGAAAACTATACCGACCTACAGATTCCCATTTGGCTGGAGCAAATTACAACCGAGGTCGTGTAATATCATAAAGACTTATTGTATGTTAGTCGTCAACGGTACAAGACTCCTTCAATGCACTACTGGTCACGAAACTTCAGCCAAAGATTGGCACAGGGTCAAACATGGCCACCAGAGGTTCCACTGTTCCAGAGTGGGACTTTTCGTTTGGACACACCACTCTCAGTAAGCCACCTGAAATTTACGATGACAAATAGTTTTGTAAAAGTAATTTCTCACACACCGACATTTTGTTAAGCCTGTAATTGACCACCTTAAGCAAGCACTGATCATTATTCATTGATAGCTAACAAAATGACTTGCACATAAGCTTGTTTTGTTTGTTTTCTAACAAAACAATGTTTTGCAAGTGAAAAAGAGCCAGTCATTTTACCTTTTTCGAGTAATGAGCGCCGTCTGGGGAGTTGTTTGCGAACTACACTAGAGGAGCAGCCCGACAAGCCTTTGCCCGTCAAAACACATTGGCATTGTGCCGTTGTACCGGTTTTCAGTGCTTTTTATACCCCATAACCCCATACTACTAATACTAAAAAACAAAGCTTCAAAATAGACTAAATACACGCGAAGATAGATGCTAACAACATTGCTGTGGCCGTTTTCGCGGGGCACCGCGTCGCGGTGTTTTGTGAAAATGGCGACAGCGGGAGTGTACACGTGTGCAGAAGCTTAGTGGAAAAAGGTCCATTGAATGTACGTATTTGTAGTGCCTCTACATGATGACACTACTCACGTTGACGAATTTTGTTGGTGATAGTGGTAGCAAGAATTCATTTTAAGGCAAGAGGAAGAAAGGAAGAATGATATTATCTTGGAAATTTTTGCAAAACTGGGAGTTTGATCAGTTTACTGAGTGTACAGAGCTGTAGACACTAAAATTAATGAGAAACACCATCAGTGCAATGACGCGTCGCCGCGGTTTATTGGTGGCTCATTCAAAGCGGGTTCGAAATTCCGATCCCACTTTTCTGGTTGCCAGAATTGCAGCAGTGCTGGCTGGATTGGCAGGTCTCAGCACCTTTGTCGACACTAGTGCCATGCGCAGTCTCGTACCAAGCTCCCCCATAGTGTTGCAGAGAAGTTTCGTGACTAATAGCGTATTGAAGGACTCTGACGGCACATTGAAGTTTCCTCGGTGCTCTACATCCCTCGTCATTATTAAGTAAGCCGTGCCAGGCACGCTTCGTTGCTTTTGAGGTGTAAATTCGAAAATGTATGCGCCAAGGAACTGAGGAAGAGAAGGAGACGCGAGCGCGGGGACGTCAGAACGCCGAATTCTGACTGAAATGGCTAGTGCCTAGACCTAAACCTAGCTACCGTTGTCTCCACTGCAATCGTCGAACGCATTTGAATGCGAGAGCCAAACGCCGGATGCCGGCATTCCGCATTCTAATGCATTCAACGAGTGCAGTGGAGACAAAAGCAGCTAGGTTTAGGTCTACCCACCTGCCATTCCAGTCAGAACTCGGCATTCTGTTGTCCCCGTGCGCTCTAGTCTCCTTTTCTCCCTCAGTTTCTCAATGCACTATCAGAGTCACGCATGTTGCATGCGGCAGAAAGGTCCCAGAACATGAGCCAATTCACCAGTTTCTCAAGCAACGTGGGAATCAAAGTTCAAATGGTGTTTGAGATGTCCATGCAACGTTGACACTCGAGGTTTAACCCAAGCATGCTCGCGATGTCGGAAGGGAAGGAGGCAGTGGGGCTCCTCACACGAGCTCCTTCCACCGAATCCGGACCTCGGTGGCTTCAAGGCGAAGTGCAGGCCCACAGATTTTCGGCCGATGTGCTTGCAATGCGATGGAGGCTCATTGCGGAGAAGGCGCTCACGTCTGCATCTCGAAAGACCCTTGGGTGATCGAAACGAATTCGTGGTCTTCCGTCGGGGCATGCCGATGTCTGTCATCAATCTAGCATGTAATCTGGCCACAAAAAAATTTAAAAAATTTCCGCTGGGGTCTGCAGTGCAGGTGTCGAAGGGGACGCGGTCCTCAGACATAGTGAGCATGCTGGTGAACATCTACGGGAGCAAGGAGCTGTTTGCGAGCGAGTACCAGACCTTGCTGGCGGAGCGGCTGCTGGCCCCAGGCGGCGTGGACACGGAGAGGGAGGTGCGCTACCTGGAGTGCCTCAAACTGCGCTTCGGAGAGGCCCAGCTGCACTCGTGCGAGGTCATGCTCAGGGACGTTGCAGACTCCAAGCGCCTGCATGCCAACCTGGCCTCCGGGGCCGCCCTCGCACCTGCGGTGAGCCTGGGCACAGTCTTTGAGCGTTGCCACAGGAACCCTGTTTTATTGTTTTTTTTTAGGAGTGCAATACATAGTTGGCGTGAATAAGTCACCGAAAGATTTCCTCTACTTTTTTCGCAATTAAAATGACATTATCAAAACTATTTGAGTTTGGGAGCTGGCCCTTTCAGTCATGAACTTGTGCACTATTGTCAGATAAAACATAAGATGGACTGCACGAGAGGGTGAAGGGTGGATGCTAAGAAACTGAAGTGGAGAGAAGCGACTTCCCCTCCACAACGGCTTTTTCTCGTGCATGCCCTTTGCCCCCTCGCACTGTCTTTCTTATGTTGTATCTGACCATAGGCGACTGCTAGAGACCTGGATATCTGCGGATTATCTGTGGATTATCCGTGTATGTGCACAGTAAAAAGCTGGATGCGGATAGAAATGAATCAGATTTGGCTGATAGCAGATCGAATGCAGATGCCAGGGGCTGCAGATGCGGATTGGATGCGGATATCCGCGGGTCCGGATCTACGTTTTTTGCCGAGGTGGCCCAGAAATGTGTGCAACTGCAGAGTGTAGAGTGGATAAGTGAGTGATTCTATGAAGTGAATCATCGACTGCATTGCGGGAGAAAACTACTGTCTTAAAAGGTGCCAATCAGGGAGAAAATTGTTTACATCAGGACAGCCTTGATTCTCACCGAAGATAGCTTTAGAACATTCTATCTCGCCAAAACTGCTGTCCCTAGAAAAAGTAAAGGGTGCAGGAGTATCAGTCGTCCCGGGAAAGTGTGTTCTTGTTTGGCAGGGAAAGAGCGGAAAACATTCTGTGGGCAAAGAAAACCCAAAACGTACAAGCCACAAAAAAGTAGAAGCCTACAAGTGGCTTCTTCGCCAATAAGTAGATCGACGAGACTGAATTCGATCCTCTGGAGCAGTGGAACTTGCACCCGCACGAGATTCCGCACCTCATTTTTGTACCGCAGTTTGTGCATGCCATCCCAGCATCAAGGGCACCAATGTATTATAATTTAAGAGAGGCGAACCAGTCTGAATCCATTCATGGTGACGGTATTTTGTTTCTTCTGCATATCAATTTCGACAAGTTAAATGTTGCGTGTGTGTGCATTTTCTTTTTGTCGACAGTTGGCACTGAGTTGCTTTTGAGGATATGGTTCCAAGCATGCAATTGAAGGTTCAAACGTTGTAGGAAATCGCGTACTGCCGCCGATTCGCCATTCCCCACGTGGTCCGTCAACAACCCAAGTTCAGCCTGGTTCTTTCACGGGAGTGAGATTCCGCTCCCCTTTTTTCGATACATAAAACACAACGCTCAAAGCACTCAATCTAAACTACAAAGACACGCGACATCACACATAGCTTAACACATAGACGAACAAATAAACATCACACAAAGATGGACACAAAGGCACAAAGAGGGCCCCCAGGCCTCGTGTCCCGCTATTGCCCGAGAGCGGTTGCTCGCACTTGCCTATTTCGAGCCCGCCTGGAGTCTCAGAAAGCCGTTCGCCCCCTGGTCCACCGACTATATCTCGATCGATGGCCGAAAAGGTTTCTCCTTGCCCGCCCTGGGGCGCCTGCAGCGCCATCCAGTGGCTAGGAGAGAAGGCGGCACGTCGGGAGCCGAGTTCGAGATCCCGATCAACCACGCAGCGACACAACCATGTGATCGTGTCTGAGGCAAGGCAACTGCACAGCCGCCTCGCGGCAACTATGCCAGAGTGGTTTGATGGGCACCCTCGTGAATGCACGGTGCACCATATTGTGTTTCAAACTGAAACCAATAGGAGGTGTTGCCATTATTAAATACAGTATAGACCACTTACAACGTAACCGCTTATAGTGCAGGACCGGGTATAACGCGGCTTTTTTAAACCACCGCTTCACCTCCCATAGAACTTCATGTATTTACACACCGCTTAAAATGCAGGCGCGCGAAGGGAAATACCGGTTATAGTGCGGTTTCTGGAACAGCCCGGCGGCCGTGCCGACTGACCGGCGCAGCGAGCACGCTTCCCTGTGCGGCGCTAGATAACGGCGCAAGCCGTAAGCTGCACTCGCGGGGCAAGGAGGTTGCTCGAAGAAGCGGGGAGAAGCGAAGAGCGAGGCTTCAGTTGCCATAGCGACGGAGGGATGCACGCACGTGTCGTTCACGTGCGTGCGTCCCTCTGCCGCTGCGATGGTTGGAAACAATTGCAACGACAGACCAATCGCAGGTCGAGGAGAAGTGTTCGCACGCCTTGCATGCCGGTCGCGGGCCGGCTGGCCGGCTGCTTCTATCCGTAAACATGGCGTCGGTTGTGATCGTCGACATAAACGACGTGGTGGAAGCTCATCGTTCCTCGTAAAAGCGCTATCCTTGACTGTGAATTTTCGTTGTGTGTTGCTATGATAACCCAGCACGTACTAGAAGGGAAGATCCACCTACTCGTGCGGCGATGTTGTGGCGGCACTCTCAAGACGGCAGAAACGTCCGTGTCGTCGTGTTTGTTTACTTTGACTACAGTGGTGCTTTCTAAGCATTTGTGTTTTCGAACATCGCCCGGATTTCTTATTTGGAGCATTTCATGCCTGTGCTCAAGTTGAAGGTATTACTGGCATGTACCGTATAAAGGATGTGAATTTTCACGCGTTTTCATCGCCGGAGAAAAGTGATTAGGGTTAGCAATTCTGAACGCTCGCAACGTCCGTCCGCAACTCGCGACGTTGTTAAAGGGGTACTCCGGCGATTTCTTCATGGTCACCGATTTGCTTGAAATTTTGCTAAACTCGCCAAACAACATCGTCAAAATAGTATCCCAAATATTAGGTCAAAATAATTTTTTTTCACAAAGTTATTCAATTTACAATTTTGGTCCTCACCGTGTTTTTCAAACTGAAAGTCTCTACTGGCGACAATGAAAAAGTGACGTCAGTGGAAGTGCAGGGTTCACTCTTTGGACTGTAGAATTTGTTCCCAACTGATTCGAAGCAGTTTCGTGGTGTCAAATAAATGCTTTTAAAGCTCGCTCCAGTCCCCGCGCTCCAGCACGGAACAAATGATTGGCATATTCTATTTTTTAGACTGCTCGCTCGACTGGCAAGCCTGCTCTCCACTGACGTCACGGCACTGAAAAGTGTGGGTATATTTGAATGTTGGTTTTTGCATCATTTTTATTTGACGATTTCGCAATGACTATTATGAATTTTGCGAAACTAAATAGCATACCGGAAAGGGTAAAGGCCAGGGAGTCAGAAAATATAGTTAGTTCAGGTAGCTCAAAAATCGCCGGAGTACCCCTTTAAAAGGCTGCACCAGGCAAGAGTCGCTCATTTCTTTCAAAATGTGCGACACACTTGAGAGAGAAGTGTACTAGTCTGGTGAAATAAAGACTTTCCTCAAACTAAGCTTTATTTTTCATCTAACGTAAAATAAATTCTTTTACAAAGGTAAGTTGTCTGATGGCATGTATTTTGGCCTGAAAAATTTATGTCTTGGTTATAGCGCGGTACCGCTTATAGTGCGGATTTTCGCGACTCCCGCGACATACGTTATATGCGGTCTACACTGTATTCTGATATTTTCCCAGTGGTGTACTCATACCTTACCATATATACACAAATACTTTGCTGCAGTGAGTGAGTGCCTTTCCCCTCCCACTTTTTTAATGTTTGGCCTAAATAAAATAGCACAATGTTATTACTCTGTCCTTTGTTAATTTTTATTTTTATAAAATATGCATCTGCTTGAGGTGGGTTTTAAGAATAAAAAATATATATATATATATTAAAATTTCCTTTCTTTTGAGTGCACCTTTTGGACAGAGTGTCAGTGTCACGGACTCGCAAGATGATCTCATAACTACGATCATCTTTCCAGCGATGCAAAGTGTTTCTGGAAGGATGATCGCTTATTTTATAAATATGATAAAAGGACTTTCACCGTATTTCTGACACTAGGAGTTCTTTGTACAAAGGTAAGGAGACGAGATACCATCCAGATGCTTCCTTTTTTTATTTTTTTATTCATACTTGATTTTATTATGTAAAATGAATGCGTAAATAGACTCACTCACCCTCACACTCACACCAGAAAAACGGTCACTCACGTCGCGCTGACTTTCAACTCAAATTGTATTTTCGTCTTCTTTCGTTTTTCTTTTACCCGTATTAAATTTGTCTTCTCACTTTGTTCTCTTCTGTACAAAGAAAAACAAAAGAAGACGAAAATACAATTTGAGTTGAAAGTCAGCGCGACGTGAGTGACCGTTTTTTTGGTGTGAGTGTGAGTGGGAGGTTGAGTGAGTCTACTTTAGCGCTTCTCCTACAATGAATATCCAACTTGCCCAAGCATCCACTCTAAGAAGCGTAAATAGAGGCTCGGATTCAGTTCTGTTTTTCGCGGATGCAGTTAGCAGGCGGATACTAAGTCTGCGGTTGCAGATTGGATGCGGATGATCAAACTGTTATCGGCGCAGGGCTCTACCGACCGCCTTCTGCACGAGAGGGATAGTGCTCTACTAGTCGTTGTATAGCGTACTACCCAAAACGGCTGTAGGACTATTCGTCGAAAGACAATTCTTAGCAGGGCAACTCGTCGCAGGGCGATTCATCGCATAGGGCAATTCGTCATAGGGCAATTTGTAATAGGGCAATTCGTCCAGATGATGATACGTCACCCTATTAAAAGATTTTTATGTTTAATTTTCACAATTTAACGAGTATATTGCTTCAAATTTATTATTTACGTACGAAGGTTCTCCTTCATTTGGTATTTTGCTTTCTAGCACAATGTTTAAGATTTGGCTTAAATGCTCTACTTACGCAGTAGGCGCTGTCTACGTCTATAGGTATACGCCACAGCCGAGTTATAAATATGTTTCAGCAATTTTTATAGGACAACCACACAGGTGTCAGTTCACAAAAATGGTTTTATTCGCATCGCTTGCTGAACCACTCAAACTGTTGTACTTGAGTGATAAGATTGGCCCGGTGAACATGCAGCCTCCCATGCACCGTCAGCTCAAGGGTGAATGGACTAAGAAACCGGGAAAAAAATCGGACAAAGGATGTTTAGAAGGAAAGCCTGCGACCTTTCCGAAAGTCCAAAAGAATGCGGCCAACAAGTAGGGTTGCCAGGTACTCTTAACCCGCAAAATTTTTCTGAGATATAGTCCAAAAATAGCCAAATGTTGGGCTATAAAAATATCCCAACACATAAAGTTTCATAGCCATACAAGGTGTTCAAAACATATCTTTGGCACACTGGTAACATGATACATGACATAAGACATTTATTCACAGAAGAACGCAAAAAGAGGATAAAGCATCTGCGTACACAGTTTAGGATTGCGAAAGGAGGGGGTTCTCAAACATCAGTTTAGCTGACCACCCCACTCCCTCCCTCGCTCTCTCTGGAAACACCTGCCTCCGCCCCTTCCAGTGGTATTAAATCTCGACAAAAAACTTCAGAAAAACAATATCGCACCTCTGCGACCGACACCAATAACGGTCCACATATTGTATTTTCACACTTGTGATTTGGATATTTTCCTTTCCTAATCTTTCGAGTTGATTGTTGTTCTCTACCCGGCTCAGAAATATCATGTTTAAGGCTTTGAAACCAAGTGCTTTGAAAATTGTTGAATCTGGGGGCTGAAATAGCCCAATAATAGCCAAATAGCCAACTATCAGATTTTCCCACCAACTACAAAAATAAGTAGCCCAATTGGGCTGTTTATAGCCCAACCTGTCAACCCTGACAACAAGGCGGTGTTCAAACTTTTCCTAGAAGGCTTCTGAACTTATCTGTTATACATACACAATCCATGCCCCCCCCCCCCCCCTTTCCCGAATTCCGGTAAGCTGCAAGCATTGGAAAGTTTGTTCTAAACTTTCCTAAAAAAATATAAAACTAAAAAAGAAACCCAGTTTTTGACTAGATGCCCTTGCAACGAATAGCCCTATGACTAATAGACCTACACGACCAATTTCCCTGCTACGAATTGCCCTGTTACGAATTGTCTTTTGACAAACGGCCCGTAGCCCACCCAAGACAGGGTTTATCGTTTGTGTTGCCGAGTCTGGTGCTTGGCAAGACCAACAGAAGCTCGTTGTCTTTAGGCTTGGCTTCAGGTTTTTGCAACTTAGATTTGTGATACCAATTGTACCTATAAGCATTTCTTATTGGTAGAGTCCAGAATTTCCCAGCAATGTTCCTCCTGACCCGTGCTTCGTCGTCGTATTCTTTTGATTCATGCAGGACTTTGACGTGTCGGCCACAATCATCTCGGCCCAGTTCTGGCCGTCCCTGAAGGACGAGAAGCTGGTGGTGCCCCCAGCAGTGCAGGCAGCCCTGGACCGGTACACCAAGGCCTTTGAGGCAGTCAAGGGCAACCGCACCCTGCACTGGAAGCCACACTTGGGGCAGGTGGACCTGGAGGTGGACACAGGCTCTAGGGTGCTCCAGCTCTCGGTGTCCCCCATCCACGCCACCGTCATCTATCTGTTCCAGGACAAGGGTGGGTGTCAAACCGGCCCTTAAAAAGGGTCCTGGCCTTCGACTAGTTTATTTATTTTAACTTTGGACGTTAAAACCTTATTGTTTCTAAAACTGAAAGAAACCTTTTGGTGCTCTTGGCTCTTGGTAGTGCCCCTAGAACTTGATAACAGATAGGCAAGGTATCTACTGTAATATCCTGAACATATGCCCAACCTCAAACTTTGCCCCCCCCCCCCTCCCCCCTTTTATGTTGAAAAGTCTATGTCAAAGAAAATTCCGATATATCGCCCACCCTCCAGAAGTAGTCATTCCGAAAAACTGGGGACATCTGGGTAGACCTTTCTCCTTAGAAGTCTCCGGACGCACACACATATGCGCCAAACAAGGAAGTTTCACAAGAGCCTGCTCCTTGTCATTGACAAGGTTGTCCGACGTGAAAGTATTTACCAATGCAACCTCTGGCTTTACCGCTTCCCCAACATCGCTCTTCATCGCTTTTCGTACCCACTCGCTCACTCGCTGGTTGCACCTGGTTGGTTTTTCTAATGTAGAGCGCAGCTCTTAGGCGCCTGTTTCCGGCTTGAGCGGCATCGCCGTCATTATGCGTTGCTCATAATGCGTTGCATTATGGGAAACGTCCCATAATGCAACTTGCGGGTCTCACTCGTGACGTCACGAGGGTCCAGCGTGTTGCATTATGAGAAACGTCCCATGATGCAACGCGTGGGTCGGCGATTGTGTCGCCGTTGCCGTAATTGCCCTTCACACTAGGGATGTCGCGAACCACTCTAGGTTCGATTTCGAAAAATTTCGATATTTTCGAACTGACCAAGGTTCGAATTTGAAAAATTCGCAACTTTCAATCACAGTGAAGTTTCGAATTCGAAAAGTTTGAAGCTTTCACGGTTTCTAAAATTTCGGGTTCAAATATTTTGAATATTTTTAGAGCGCAGCTCTTAGGGGCCCGTTTCCGGCTTGGGCGGCGTCAACGTAACCGCGAGGTCACGTGACCCCCCGAGGTCACGTGACCCACCCAGGTCACGTGACACCCCTAGGTCACGTGACCCCCGAGGTCATGTGACCCCCAGAGGTCACGTGACCCCCTGTAGTCACGTGGCTTCTGGGGGTCACGTGACCTAAGGGGGTCACGTGACCCACCGAGGTCACGTGACACCCCTAGGTCACGTGACCCCCAGAAGTCACGTGACCCCTTGAGGTCACAGGACCCCCCTAAGGTCACGTGACCCCCTGAAGTCACGTGACTTCTGGGGGTCACGTGACCCCCAAAGGTCACGTGAGCCCCTGAGGTCACGTGACCTCAAGGAGTCACCTATCCCTCAGTACGCTTCCATCTTCCTCCTCAAGAGCTGCGCTCTAACCGGCGTTACAGGGAATTGTAAACGGCTTTCATTTTTTTTTTACTCGAGGTTCGATATATTCTAAGATTTCGAACTTTCCTAACTTGAAATTCGAGATATTTGAAACATTTAAATTTCCTGGGATCAGAAGTTCGAAAAGTTCGAAGATTTAGAAATTCTTTGGAAATAAAATTCGAAAACTTTGGACGCTTCGAATTTTTATAGACATGAAGTTTGAACAATTCGAAGATTTCGAATTTCTTTCTGCATAAAGTTCGAAAAGTTGGAAGGTTTCGATTCTCTTTTAACGCTAAATTCGGAGAAAAACAAGAAAACAAAAAAAACTTTGAAGATTTATGGTAATAAAACCCGAGACTCAGGAACACAAAAGGGGACGAACACAACACAACGTCTCAAACACACGAAATAAGCATGTTGTGTTTGTCCCCTTCTGTGTTCCTGAATCTCGGGTTTTATTATCATGAATCATCACCAGCTCGCTCGTTTTTGAAGTATTATTGCAACTTCGAAGAGTTTGAATTCCTTTCAAGTCCAAGTTTTTAAAGTTTGAAGTCCAGTTTTCAAGTTCCTCCACAGTTTCAGTTTCAAATAACGTTTTCACGACTCACGGTTTTCACAAAATCAAGTTTAGAAAAGTTAGGGTGTGTTATCTAGACTCTGCGAAGTTGATCAGGCAATTAAATGAGATGACGAGTGTCCCGGATGAGCTGGAATATTTGCCAGTGCAGAGTGACGTGTGACCATAGAGCAGTAATTGTGACTGCCAGCCCGGGGGGGGGGGGGGGGGGGGGTCTTTAACGTGCATCACGCAGTAGGGATCACACAAACACACTGTTTTACGATACTCATCCAGTTCGAAATGGGCAAGAGGTTGAGGCTCAGCAAAACCTTGAAGCGACCTGGCAAAATACGTCCCCACCCCTTGCACGCTGGTAGTAACCCGATTGAACACCGCCCGAGTGACTCTGGCATATAGTAAGTTAAGTTTGTAATTGTCCATTTCTGAGACGGAGGAATCGCCTCGCAAAAAGCACAGAAGTCGACACAACTCGAGGTCGAGCTTATTTTAGTCTGAAATTATTAATGCATATGTATAGCTACTGTCGCTCTTCACTGCATAAAAAATCGCGTAGATGGTCATTGTTAGAAACTCGTTGTCAGAAGGCACTACTCGTCACATGCTTAGTGGTTCAGAAGTTCAAAGCTATGTCTTTACGACCTAAATAACTGTGCCAGTGGTAAAAAAAAAAAAAAAAAAAAAAAAAATTAATAAATGCGGAGATAAAAAGCTGGAGAAAAAAAAAAACTATCAAGAATTTGCCGGAAGTGTTGTATTGTTGCATATTCAGAGGTTCAGAACTTCGAAGCAAGTTTCTCCTACCAAAATGTGTACAGGCTAAAAGAAACACGTCCCAGGAACGTGAAGCGAAAAAAAAAAAAAATGTTTTCTTTTAATGACGTGCTGAACTTGAACAATATTAGAAATTTTCTCCCATGAGTTAATTTATTCCTTAACATGAAAAAGCAATAAATACATCATTTTGTAATCTGCAGATGGCAATGATATGTACTGTCTGTGGTGTTAATTTAAATGCGATGCCTCAAACAACTTGGACGAAAATAAATACCAAGTTTAGGGCATAATTGCATGTAGATACATGTTTGGACATTTCTTCGAAACTCACCTTGAATAACAATAATCACATCTTAAGATGACACTTACCTAGGCTATACATAGATTATTCTTAAAAAGTTTAACATCTCTACCATAAATAGCTTCGGCTACAGCACGCTTCAAATCTGGCACAAGCGATAATCATGAAAAACCCGTCGTCCTTCCTCGCCCCTTCGGGAATTTATTTCTTTAAAACTAAGCATGCCAGAACATTGAAATAAACGGCATTGCCTTTTGTAAAGAACGCAGCACTGCATGTAAAAGTTTGAGAAAACAAAATTACGAATGTACCTCACTACTTGAATTCAAATGAAACCGTTCGCCGTTCTTTCAAAGTTTGACGAACGTCGAACTTTTACCCTAAAAGTTTGAAGTTCGTCGAACTTCTGACTTTTCAGGATTCGAAAGTTTGAAACTTTTCAAATTCTCTTGATAAATAAGTTTGAAAGTTATTGGATTCCTTAGCATAGGAAATGTCGAAAGTTCGAAAAGCTTCGAATTTTTTAGTGCAAGAAATTCTAAAGTTTGAAAATCATCAAACTTTTTTGTCAGTCAAGTTCGGAAGTTCGGCAAGCATCGAATTTTGCAGCGTGATAAGGTCGGAAGTTCGAAAAAGATGGAATTTTTTAGCGTAATAAGTTCGACGGTTCAAAAATCGTCGAACTTCTTAGCTTACCAAGTTCGAAAATTCTACTTCTGTCGAATTTCACATTATAAAAAATTCGAAATCTTTCGAACCTTTCGAACTGCTTGATTCGATCATCAAAACTTCGGTTCGAAAAAGATTCGCGGCATCTCTACTTCACACTATGGGAAACGTCCCATAATGCAATGCGCGGGTCTCACTCGTGACCCGCGTGTTGCATTTATTTATTTATTTATTTATTTATTGTACCCTCAGGGCCCGAAGGCATTACAGAGGGGGAGAGCGTAGGCAGGGAAAATATAACAATTCAGCAATACTAAAACAAATAAAAAGTGAACAAACAGGTCAGAAATCAGCGCAAAAATGGTTATTTATGGCACTTCGAAAAAGATTAGAGTCTGTTATGGCAGCAATTAAACCGGGAAGGTGGTTCCATTCTTGAGCTGTGCGTGGTAGAAAAGATGAATGAAATGTGTTGGTTAATGAGCTTGGGACTCCAACTTTGTGCTGGTGATCTACACGAGGCGAGATGTAATAGGGGGGAGTTATGAAATGGTCGCGTAATAGGGGATTATGAAAATAAATTTTATGAAAAAGGCATAAGCGTGAAATTTTACGGCGAAGTGAAAGAGATGGGACGTTTTCCATAATGACGTCACGTGTGACGTCATGAGGGCCACAAGTGACATCATGAGGGTCCCTCGCGTTGCAGTATGGAAAACGCCCCATGATGCAATGCGCGAATCACTCGTGACTTGCGCAATGCAGCCTTTTCATAATGACGTTACAATGGTCACTCGTGAAAATCACGACCTTCACAGTGAAGGTCACAGCCTTCACGAGGCCTTCGCAAGTGACGTCTTGAGGGTCATGAGGGAGGGGGAGGAGGAAAAGGAGGGAAGGGGGAGGAGGAGAAGGGTACAGAGGAGGAGGAGGGCATACCCTCCTCTTCGTACCATCATCTCCTTCTCAAGAGCTGCGCTCTAATTCGGCATTACGGGGAGTTGTAAACGTCTTTCATTCTTTTCTTGTTGACTTTTTTTAAATCTATTCATTTTTTAGTTCACAGATCAGCAAAGGCAAGGCTGCCCAATGAAGGGAACATAGCAGTTTTAGAAATGGGCTCTCACGGAACAAGCATTCACACTATATGCCAGTCGGCAGTGTTCATTTTGGTATGCAAGCGACGGACTTTGCAATAGTATAACATTCTTTCAAGATGGCGGGTGGGCGAATCTTGAAGATTCGCCCACCCGCCTTTCTTTTTCAGTTATCTCCCGCGAAAAGGTGGCCGTTCATTCAGGATATTACAGTAAGTTTTTGGAGTGAACATTGCCGGCTTTCAGGCCAGGGAGATAAAAGAGCTCTGATAAAGGAATTTCCGTCGTAATGTACCCTTAAACACGCTATACAAAGCTTCCAAATTGCGTCCAATTGATGCCCACTTTCCGCATGCAGCGCGTTGGACCCTGGACGAGCTGAGTGGTGCGACGCACGTGTCCGGCACCATGCTGCGCCGCAAGCTGGCCCTGTGGCAGGGCCACGGGCTGTTGCGAGAGGACAGCCCCGGAGTGTTCACACTGTGCGAAGAGGGCCAGGGTGGGCCCTCCGGCACCCTGGCCATAGAGGTGGAGGGGGACGAGGACGACGACGAGGCACATTCGGTCATGGCCTCCACCCAGGACCAGAAGGAGAGCGACTTGCAGGTGAGGCTGGGTCAGCCGATCAATCATTCATTTCACTCTTTTAATGCGAAAACATTAACTGTCCCATGGAGTGAAGCCGGCGTTATTTGTGACCGCGAAAGATGACACCTAACTTGCGTCTGAAGCAGCAAAAAATGACAGCTAAATTCCCATTGGCTGAGCAGAACAGCAGCTAAATTCTCGTTGGCTGTGTGAAACCGCACCCAAAGTCCCCTGGGCCAAAAGCACAGCAACGCAGATGCTTTGTCACGGAAGCCAGCGGGGCGTTCAAGGTCAAAGAGAACACAAAGAAAAGCACATCAATGCAGACGCATCGCCACGGAAGCCGTGGAGGCGGCGGGAGTGCCGCGCCTGCGCAGTGGGGGAGGGTGATGTCACCGCCGAAGCGCGGCACCGCGCTGAGCTTCGCATTTCCACCCCTGCCTCACCCAGCGGCGCAGCAGTCACCAACAAGCCAGAGCGGTTTGCACGGTGCACTGCTGCGCTACCTACCAGTTCTGCGGCCGCTCCTGGCGGCGTTCATTTGGACATTAATGCTTTCGCATTCATAACTCATGAGGAGTGCTTGCATTTCCTCGGAATTTTTATCTTCGGGCAGCTCCACCAATCTGTTTTGTCTTGTGTATTGCTCTTTTGTGTCTACACCCTGTAACTGTGACAAAGTGAAAGAAATGTAAAAAAAAAAGATATGTTGACCTTTGTTTAAATAATTAACATTTGGAAAATAGTTCACGTGCTTTGGAAAGTGCACAAAACGTTTTTCAGTATCTCATTGGCTGTGGATGAAAGATTCAATTGTTGGAAAGTTTACATTTCCGGTTTATTTCCGAGTGTTTTATTTATTTATTTATTTATTCTGCTTAATGTGCCCACAAACAGCTCAAGGCGTTATTAGTGCTTTATTAGTAGTTTTTTTATGTCTGGGACCAAAGTGCGTAATTCAAGTTACTCCTATTTGTTTCGAAAGGAAAGGAACTAATTAAAAACTTAATACAGTCACGCACTACGTTACTTCACAAAATAGTCCGATTTGTAGTGACTAGTGACTATTGCACGTAGAGCAACCTAGGGTTTCATATATTTATTTTTAATATTGTGCAAAATACAAAGCGTTGTATGAAGGCCACTTCATTTTGTGGAGTTTATGATGAGGATCTCGTGTTTGCAAAAGGTGTGACAAACTATATGCGATGCATAGCCGACACATCAAATGTTGGCCTCGTTTCGAGAGCCGCACTGTGACATTTCCTAAACCAAGGGCTCCAATGTGTGCATATGAACAGATGATAACCACTGGGTGCCAGATTGGGCCTTACGCATGCACGACCAAACGTCGCAAAGATGGCTGAAATTGACCGGGAACTGGTCGGTCAGTGCCTCACATGAGCACCCGTGACGCTGTAATTGACCGTCGCCTTGTCAGGTTCGGTCATCTTTCCCACGAAATGTGTGACTTGTCGATGCCAGTGTTTTCATTCAAAATTAAGCTCGACAACAACTGGTGGTGATGTTTTGCTGCATCTTTGCAAAAGAGGGCTGTGTGTTCTTCTCGCATCCTATCCTTGTTACAAAAGGTAATAAGTAATATGAATCTGTACGAAAGAGGAACCCTTCATTATCAAGGAGGAACCCATTTTGTGGCAAAAACAGTTTTCTAATTTTCAAGGGTTGTACAGACAGATGTTGGCATCTGCTCCAAAAGTGCCTGTTGCTGCTCCAAACCAATATTTTGCCTGCTACGAAACCTGCTGCAAAAAGTCGATTGCCGCTTCCATCACTGCTATACATTAGGTTAGTGGTTCTCAAATAGGGTTCTGCAGACCCACTGGGGTCCACAAAGCCATCTTTGGGGTCCACAAAGCACTTTCTTCAACCCTCCCCCCTCCCCCTCCTCCTTTTTCTTAAAAAAAAGATTGCTTTTTTTATTTACTTTGGCTGGGTAGCACAAGCTATTGCCCGTTATAAAGGGTACAGTCGTTACCATCTATCCATCCATTCATCCTCTTGATGCTTCTCACTTTTCCTCTCTATAACAGTAAGGGGTGTCCTTTTTACACTGCAGTTAATTGTCTTATCTTGTATCCTCCCCTCCTTCCCCTTCCCCCGCTGTCATGGGTTCTCCGAATTGTACTGAAATAACCCAGAGGCACAACAGAATAGCTTCTTTGCTTGTGTCTCTATGCCACTGTAGTCAATGGTAATATCTGTCTGACTTTGTTATCTTGATTGATGTGTTTGTTGTGATTGTGCATGCTATGACTAGTCAGCTTTGAAGCAAAGTGGAAACACTGCTGTTGGTTTAGTATCCTGCACAAATTTATACTATTTTGTTTATGTTAAAAAAAGAGAAAATGTGTCCCTCACTTGCATATGATTTTACTTTAACAACTTTTTGTTAACTGTTCACTTTTCAGCACTCGACATTCTTCAGAAGACCACTGGCAAGTCTATACCCGAGATCGGCTTGGGAGTGTGTGTGTGTTTGTGTTTCCTAACAATGCCGAGCCGGGACAAAGGCATTGCTTCTAGCGGTGGAAGAGACAAAATACTTCTTGCCTTGCATCTTGAAAGGGGCCTCTCAAAATTTCTTTCTTACAATTTTAATAACATTGCTAGTCATGAAGTGGCTACCACTCTGATGATCATATTATTGCACACCTGTCTCCAGCAAAGCAGTCTTGTAATGGCAAAAATAATTTTTTAGTGACGTTTATGTTTTGAGATTGTACAGACATTCACTTTATAGTGTATAAGGTTGTAGTCTTTAGGATACATTTTTCTTTGATTATTTCTATAAATAATTGGCAGCCGACATGGTACGCTAATTCATGGTATTTCTGCGCCCTGTGCGTGGTTTGCAGAGGCAAACTCTGGCTGAAAACAAAAGTTTTTCTTTAAATAGTACACACATATAGAGCACCCTGCTCCAGTTTGTTTGGCAAATCTTTAATTGCATTTATTGCTGCATTGAGGTCGCAGAAAAACAAGATTAGAAGAAAATTGCATGGCAGAGTAGTGGGAAATATTACTACTAATGTGCCCGGATCCCAGCTCATTTTTTTGTTTTTCTTTGCGGGGAGCATGCCAGCACCTCTCTCGAAAGGGGGGGGGGGGGGGGGGGGGGGGGCGGGGGCGGAAGGGCGGGCGGCGGGGGGGCAATTGTACAAGATGTTATGGTATATCTGTCCTGGGTCTACACTAGACATTTTTATTGAAGAACAGTAGGACTGTAAACAGAATGTTTTTCTCTTAGGCTTTAAAGATTTTCATAGAAAAAATCGTTAAGGTGCAGGCAAGCTGGTGAATATTAACCATGTTGAATTAACCCGAGACTGGGGTAGAGAAGAAGCATCAAAACGTAGAAGGGACAGAAAATAGAGAGGATGACCTCTCTTTCGTCCTCTCTATTTTCTGTCTCTTCTACGTTTTGATGTTTCTTTTCTACCCCAGTCTCAGGTTAATTCAACATGGTTTAAAGATTTGTTTTTAAAAAGCTGTAAAATCTACACAAATGTGGTTTGTGCAAATGAGTTATACAGTCTAGGGGATCTGATATAGGTCTAATATAAAAGGATAATCATTGTGAGTCGGTTAATTTACTAAAATGTGTTTGCTAACTTTTCCATTAGCAAAGATAAGAATATGATTCTAATGAGAAACTTGCTGAACGTCATCGAAAACCACTTTAGAAACCAATTTTAGAAATATTTGCAGCGTGTGGGAAGCACATTGGTGCGCTAAAGTTTCTGCTTGTGCAATAGGTAATGGTGCACAAACATGCCCGCACAGTTTTTTAGTCTATTATTTTCAGTATTTTCGTATCGCCAGCAATATGCCCATCGCATGAGTGTTAACTTTAGTGCACCTCCGCACTTGCCGAAAGCCCCAAATCTTTCTAAAACCTGCTTATTTAGTGGTTTTCGACAATGCTCAGCAAGTTTCTAATTGGAATCATATCTAACTTCAAAAATTAAAAAGTTAATGAAGAAATATTAGTCAATTAACCAAATTATTGTGACGATTATTCCTCTACCGTAAAATCTCCTAAGGGCACCCTCCCCGTAATGATCGCCCATCCCGTTTTTCTGGCTAAATATCCGTAACATAAAAATTCCGAAATGTCGCCCACCCCCTGATTTCCGTCAGACGTCATGCAATGTTCGACGGGACTCGCATCAACCGCGCTATTTGCGGTACCAGTATGTGTGACAAGCCGACTCGCAGCGGGTTCCCGCATTTTTGTCTGCGATCTGCACGCCTAATATCGGTTTCCGCGACATGCGAGTTCTTAGCGAGTTCCTGCATTTTTTGTCCGCGATCTCTGCGCAAAATATAGCTTCCCGTTGCATGTAAGTTCAGCTGGTTTCCGCATGTTCCTCGCACCATGAAACACAAATCTGCTGCCTCCGCAGTCTGGGGTATTCTTTCCCGTGACACAGGAGTTTGCAGCGAATTCCCGCATGTTTATCGCATTGTGAAACGCTAATTTGCCATGTCCGCGACCTGCAGTATCAGTTTCTGTGGTTTGTAGTGGGTACCTCTTGTGTTTATCGTTAATTTTTTATGAAGTTTTTGCTGTCTCATTTCTAAAGATAGCCCACCTCATGTTTTTCACCATTTATCTCTTTTTTAGGTGGGCACCCTTACAGAATTTTGGGGTATATATGTCCCCCTGGCCTTATCACCTACACAAACCACAGTAGAATTGCTTTTATAGCGTTTTAAAACAAGTCTGTAAATTGTTCAGAAATACCCTGTATAATTATAACAAGGACTCGTTCAAAGTTTTCTTTGCTCAAACGATTATTGATTAAAATAGCTTACCACCGTTGCGCACATAGCTAATTTTTTTTTTAAATTCTGTTCAAGGTAATTGCAGAAAGTGCAGCCTACTTGACATCATTTTCAATTCACTGCTGTTACAATCTCGAAAGAGATTAACGGTATGACCGTACAATACCACAGAAGTGCCCACTTTGTTCAGGCCACTATTAACATTTCCCGAACTTGTGAATTTTGCAAATTATACATGAAGCACCCAATTTGACCGAAGAAGTGCCCACGCCTAGATTAATCCAGCTTTCAGTGAAAGTAGGTGGGCGCTCCCTCGTAATTTAACAGTAGGACAAAAAAAATCACACAAAAGGAGTTTGTTGATTTATCTGAGCATAATAGGTACATATAGAGGGGCAAATATAGTGCAGGATGCTTTGCATGGGAATAGTATGCGAGGCCTTTTTTGTTGCTTGAAGCTATATTTTCATCGAAAGGTCTGGTTTTAAGAGGCCGGTGTGCTATTGTCGGTACCTTAAAGGGGCGGTGGAACGGGAATTGAGTTGTAATGTTTTTCATTCTACACGAGCTTATTGGCACTGTGGGACTCAACTATACTTGAACACAATGCCGCTGACCAAGAAACTTTTTTGTTGCGATATAATTTCAAGGATAAAAGCATGCATTTTCTTTCAATCTTTCCTTCGTGAAACTTGACGTAGTCTGGGGCCGCAGTGTTGGCATAGCCCCCAGTGACGATATTTAAATACAGCTCAAAGATTGAACTCGAGCATGGGCGTACCGACCGAGAAGGGGGGGGGGGGGGGGGCAAAGCATGTGTTTTGCCGCCCTTCCCCCCGTTGAAACAGCCACCACTGCGCTGGGCAAACACTGGCCGGCGGCGCCCAAGGGATGCCAAGGGTACTGCCCCCCGGCCCTGGGGAAGGAGGGTCTGGTTTGCCCCTGCATTCAAAAGCAAGTTGGTGCACTACCGAACCCAAGCACTGCTTGAGCACTTTAGTATTTGGGCTCGCGATAATCAATAGTGCTCTACAAGCGCTCAACTAGTGGCTCGTGTCCAGTCGCTGTAGTGACAACACTAGCCAAACCATAACAATGTCTGGAACTCAGCGCTTGTCCTGTGCTTTGCCAACCCCAGCGCATGGCTACGATCAACATTGGCGGCATATAATCGCTTCCAGATCTATTGGCCGCTTGTCCTGGCTGCGAGTTGAGAGGTTGAACACTGCTCGTTTTACGATAGCTGTTGTGGGCTCTTCTCACCACTGGAAATGACGTCCATTGTTGATGCAGTTGTCGTTGTTGGTGTTTTAATTAGCATAGTAGGGTGTAGAATCTCTGTCGTCGATGCTGCCAAATCCTCGAAAAAGCTTGCCTGTCTCACGCGGGAATCGAACATGGCGTCACAGCTTTAACAACCCGCTTTATACTTAGGGTTTTTGATAATACCCAATGTGCACTCTGAAAAAAAAAAATAGTTGATAACAAAATGTTGTTGTAGCACTGTCAATGCCAAGAGCTTGTGCTGGGAGAACCGCTTTCACAGGCTCCAGAACAAAAAACAATGAAAGCGTTCTGAACAAATTGGTCACATGTCTATTTTGTTCCCAACGCATTTGTTCATGTATGTGAACGCGACACCGCTGCCCAGTGACTTTGCCGTGACGAGTTGCAGCTATTGCTCCGACTGTATTGTAGATTAACACTGCTCAATTTTTTCTTAATTTTTTTTGTGACTTTAATTACGAGGGGTGAAATATGAGTGCGTGTTTTATAGGTCATAAATGTCAGGTACTCATTCTAAGCGGTATTTGCGCTAAGTACAAAAATTATTGCATCACTCTTTTAACAAAAGATGCTCCACCTCCAGCACAATCTCGTTGCCTTCCGCCAAGCTTTGGCTGTGCATGTGCGATGAAGTGTTATCAAGGACAGAAAGGTTGCGCTGTAGGCATCTACTAAATTCTTAACCCTTACCAACTGTGACCATGCCGTTTAAAATGCACACAGTTTTAAAACCAAAATGGTACTTGAGATAGTCTGCTTGAGCGCCGTCCCTAAGCAATTTTTTCTCGCTGACTTTTCTACCTGTGCGCAGATGTACTGGTCATACATAGTGGGCATGCTGACCAACCTGGAGATGCTGACCCTGGAGCGCATCCACACCATGCTGAAGATGTTTGCCATGCAGACGCCTTCGACGACCGAGCTGACCGTCCAGGAGCTGAGGCTCTTCCTAGACAGCCAGGTGGCCAAGCAGAAACTGCTCTACTCCGGGGGACACTACAGGCTGCCCAAGGCAGACCTCATCTGAGGGCTGGGATCGGGGAAAACTAGAGCCCTTCTTAACCGCAGCACGACTGCACCCTGTCGGAAGGTGAAGTCGTGCTTCGATTACGGTGCCCGAATTGCCTCTTTGACCAGTGCGTTTACCAGCCCATGCACCGAAAGTGGTCCCAAAGTAGCAACAGACTGCGTCGCACGAGACAGGTCGTCGTGCTGTGGGATGTTGCAGAGCCCGGCTGTTTGAGTCTGCCCCCCCATTGCGATCCTGGCAGCGGCACAGCAGTGGCGGTGAATGAGGCAGGTGACAGTTCTCCCTCGGGTCGCTCTCGAGCCTCACAGTCCACGGAAGCTTTGGCAGCCAGGGGTTTGGAGGCCGCGACGACGACGGCACTCGTGTTGTTCCATTCTTTTTTTTAGTACCTTTTACGACCTTTTACGGGCATGGCACGCGTCATCCGACAGCGTGCCATGCCCGCTCCTGCGATATCATTTGTTGGCACTTTGGGACCGCATTCGATGCACGGGTAGGAAAAGGCACCAAGCGCGCCGGTCGAAGGTTCAGGTGCCGTAATCTTGCCACAACTACGGCGTCATTCACAACCCTTGATGGTTGTGTTGCAGTGGGAAAGCGGTTCAGTGCCGCTTTCCCACAGCACGCTCGTTTCGCACTCGTAGTGAAACGAGTGTTGTGGCTTTTTTTGTGTGCATTACGATTCTACTTTGCTTTAAAAAGTAAAATATACTCTGTAAGTTATTTTCAAAGTGTGCCGAAGCTTCCTTTTCCTCGGTGCATGGCGAGCGTGTGCAGTCTCAATTCGTGCTTGTTAAATCCCGATGCAAAGAATCGGGATATAATGACATGATTTCCAATTTGGGTTGTAATTATTTACTTATTTGTATATTAAATTCTGAATTTATTTGTCGTAAGTAAAGTAGAAATAAGGAACCCAATTAACTTGCAGTGCAGTCATGGAAGAAGCCTCTGGCATCATTTGCTCCAGAACAGACTCCACGGTTTATTTGTATGTTTTACTGAAAAAAAAAATCAAAAATGAATTGCTGAGTTTATGTTGCCAAATTTTTAATGGGAAAGCAAAGATACTTTTAGTCTTTTTCTAATAAATGTGTTTTAGGATTGTGAGATTACCTAATAAGCTAGGGTATTTTTATCAGAATTTCTTAGATGTGTGTTTACGTTAAGAAAAATGGCACTTTAAAACCGAGAGAACATAGAAACTAAATGATGGTAGTATTCATTATTTAAGACAACCCTGAGACAGGTGAAGCGAGAAGGACAAACACAACGAAGTCTCAAAGCACAGCGGCAAATTAATTTTTCTGACTCATCCTTTTTATGGAACGAACCCCCACCATCACTAGAACTTCCTACCGTCAACCCTACGATGCATGTTAAATGGGCAAATGCCCGACCCTGATTCGAAGAAACCGAACCGAATGAACTTCAACAACAATAGAACATCCACCTTCCCCCCCGACACTCGCCGGAAGGCAAACCCCGACACACCGATTCGAAGAAACAACGAAAGCAAAGACACGACTTCCCATCACCCACAAAAAAAGTTTGTGGTCACCCAAAAACTCCCACAAGAGAAGAATTTCCGCAACTTCTGGTCTAGCACAATGGACGGAACACCTACGCAGTTACTAGCACTTCTTATCCGAACAGTCTCCTTCAACAACCTTTCACAATGATCCTTTTCTTTGCTAAAAATTTTAGTTTCAGTCCTTTGGGGAAACAATGGCCACACTCCCCAAGATCTTTTGCTATTTCCAAATTTGACGCGTTCAACAGTACTGCCCTTTTGTGTTTCAAGATCTTATCATTTATGCGCCGTCCCGTCTGCCCTCAAAGGAAAAACTACATGCGATCGGAACTTCGTAAACCACGGCCTCTTCACATCTAATTGACGTATCCGTATGTTTCTTCGGACAACCCTTCTGGACTGTCGAGAAGGGTGTCAACCTACTCAACTTAAATAATTTTTGAACACCACCGAGATACCATATTTCCCTGCCAGAGATTTCAGGTTATGTGAGAACTGATGATAGAATGTTTTCCGGTCTTTTTTTTTTGTTTTTGTTTTTTTTGCATTCTACATTGTTTTCCGCTAAGCTAAGCAGGAAGTTCCTAACCTTACTGACCGAGCAATAGCCTGACTGTGCTAACCCCGAGATTTGAATGATCACGTCACTTTGTAGGTGATGACAGCATGATTTTTTCATCGCACTTCTAACAAGTGAATTTGCCCCTCCTTGCTTGACTGCCTTAGGATGGCAACTGTGATACGGCAAAATAGGCTTCGGTATTTGCCGTAGCCCCAGCACAATCTTTGAACAATACACTTTCAAATCAAGAAACTAAAGAAAGTCTGCAGTCGAGCCCAGTTATATCACACCCGGATATTTCGAATTATAGTTTATATCGAACAGTCCAAACATCCCCTTAAAACTCGCATGTACTAGTATACGAGCGTTGTTTTTCTGTATCGAACTCCCATGGCGGGGACACTCGATAAAGCGAACTAAGCACGGCCGCCCTTCGCTTCTTGCGCGGTCGGATTGCGCCGGCATCGAGCACATAGCTCGCGTTGCAGGGCTGGCAGACCGCCGAGCCAGCATACGCGCACGCACAAAGATACGCAGCAAAAAAACAATTCTAAAAAAAAAAAAAAAAAAAAGTGGAGGATTGCAAAAGCAAGGGGAAGGGCACGCGCTATAGCGTGCACAGTGGTAGCGTGTGCTCTTTCCAGAACACCGCTGTTGCTGCGCGACTCCTTAGCCCCCCCCCCCAAAAAAAAACACCTAAAAGTTTTTGTTAAGTTGAGTGTGTCGACAACAAAGGTTGAGCAATCGCACTTTGACCGCTTTATCTTTGTTTGCCTTTTTCTTTCGCCGTTGTTGCTTGCCCGGTTTTCTTTTTTTTTTTTTAGCTTTTTGTTGCTGCCTGAATTTAGTGAGGTTCCTTTTGTTGCTTGCGTAACTTTATTCTATAGATTGACAGTTTTCTTTTTGTTTTTATTTTATGCGGCTCGCTTTTTCCGTTCTTTTTTTTATTATTATTATCGTGTTTTGTTGCCGGTGCTGTGTGGAGCGTGTCCAGGCGTAAACGACCGCAAACGCCGTCGGGTAAAAGCGGCGGTGCTTGCGATCCTCACCACCTAAGCTCTGCTGTATTTAGCGGATTTGGTAAGGTACCGTTTGTCGGACGCGCGGAAATTTCAACTGGAGCTTCAGTTAACATATTTTTGTATATCAAATTATCGATATATCGAACTATTTTACGATCTGAATTCGATATATCTGGGTTCGACTGTAGTACACAGTTCGCTCGTGAAAGACAACTCTGGAGCCTGCTGTCTTGTGAAATCAACCCACTCGTCAAAACTCGGGCTCTCGAATACACATGTAAAATCAACATAACGTTTGACTATCGTACACGCTCCGGCCATTGACGATACTTGCGCATGAACCTCATGATCTAACACACAAATAAGTTTCTGAAAATAACGGAGCCAAGGACGATTCAATGCATAAGACACCTTGCTTCTGCGAAAACATTTGTCCTTCCAAACAGCCGTTCAACATAAGTAAAACTCAAGAAGATTCAAGAAACTGGCTACATCTCTTCCTGAGGCAGCCTGGAATTTCACCAAACTATCCTCCAGCAGTTGTACTCTACGAAGGAGCACACCTTTGTTCAGAGAATTATAAAGAAAGATCTTTGATGTCAAGCGAAGTCAACTTGCACTGTTTTGTATGAAACGGTTCCATAAACCCATTTTCAAGAGATAAACAGTGAAGTCATTTTTGCAGGAAATCGGGCAAAACTCGCCGCCAAGTGCCATTCTCATTTATATCACAATGCGCATGTGAAGCTATGGTTTGTGGTCTTTCACTACGAACTTTACGGATGAGGATGTCCTTATTCTACCACTGATGCTACTAACAACCGACTGAATGAATCTAATCACACACCTCTTGATTTTCTGGATATCCTCGACACACAGCTAGAATCTGGAATAGGTCACCCGCAGCAGAGTGCACTTTAGCCTTGAAAGAATCATCCAATACCTCGAACCTGCCCATTCTATCCGTCTGCAGTAGCACCAAGTCATTCTGGACCAGTTCCTGTTTTACTTGCCTAATATTTCTAAAGTCTCTGCAATCAAAACGCAATGCATCAATCACTAATTTGGGTAAAACCCTGAAAGCATTGGAATGCAGACTTATCATTTTGTGACGGCTTGAAGCTGAGCTAGTTCCGTATTTTGGTTCCGTATTCTCCTGCATATTGTCTGTACTGAAGACGCCAGATCAAGTCTAGAAGGTTTGATGTTTGCAGTGCCTAGTATTCTTTTTTTTTTTTTTTATCAAAACGTCGGGTAGATTTGTATTCTGACGACACAGTGAAGTGTAATTGTTGAACATTCTACAACGGTAGAGAGTTCGAGTCAAAACAGGCATAAGCTGCAAGTTTACGCCCGTGCTCGACAGCATTGTGCTTAAAGGCCGACGACGAGACTCGAGATTCTGCAAGGCAGAAGATCCTCCTCACCATCGGGGAGGAGGAAACAGGCTACGGTGAACAGGATAGAAGGGGGGAGAGGAGTAAGTGAGGGAAAATTGGAAAGCGCGAACTGGTCGCCAGTCTTTAAAGGCCTTTCTAAAGAATTGTCTCCTGCCAGAAAGAAAGCCGGTTCCCAGTTCCCTTCTCTCCATTTCCTCCCGCACTTTTCTCCCGGTTTCTGACCTGCTCCCAGCAGAAACGAGGGAGTCTCCTTTTTTCTCAAACAGAAAGGAGGAATTCAGGAAGAGTTTCCTTTTTTCTGGCTGCTCGTCGGCTTTTAAACTTCGGCATTTTCTGTTGTATAAGTTGCATTTCTTTTTCTTAAATTTCTACATACTCTTTTTTTTTTTTTAGTATATGTGCCTTAATTGCGCAAGATATAGGCCATATTGACATTAACAACGAGCGAGGAACGGCAGAGCATCCGCCGACGGTCTGCTCTGCCAGCAGTGCGAAGGCGGTGCAAAGCGCAATCATCATCATCATAATGCCTTTATTTGTGCCAATGGACCTTTTCCAAATACCGACGGCACCAGGCGGTGGCTGCACGAACTAAAAATCAAGGAAGTGACCTACCTGCGCTACCATCGATAATGGGAGCTACGTTACCAGTTGCTTCGCTCTCTGAGCAGCGTCGCGTGCCCAGCCCAACGCAACGAGGTAGGCCTAGCGCGACTTTGAAGAAGGAAATCCGTAGCGTCCACCCAAACGTCGTGTTTTTCTTTCCGTCCACTTTCTTTTTTTGTGTAACACAATTATATATATGCTGCAATTACGTGTTCTACTCGTCGATTTACAGCCTCATTCCGAATTTCCTCGATTTTTTCGTGCCGACTTCCACCGCTTGGCATCGGGCGCTCGCGCGTGCGCAGAACGCTTCTCGGAAAAGGTCCATTAACAACCAACAAAAATCTACAATGTGGCACAGTGAAAAAAAAAAAAAAAAATTGCACAACTGTAAAACATGCTCAACTGATAAAACTAGCATGCAACAAAACACGACAGTACATTTTTAGCGACGGAAAATAATCTCATCTAATTGTCTACTGAGATTTACGTAGCTATCAAAAATATCAAACTTTTCATGCCCAAGATTGTTTACACTTGTCTGCATTCTTGTTGTTGGTGATGTCATGTGTTGATTGTGGGGATAAAAAGTGAGAGCTGTCCTATT